GGGTTGAAAAGCACCCTGTTCAAATTCATAGATGACACTAAGATGTGGGGAGAGGTGGGCACGCTAGAAGGGAGGACGAGGCTACAACTAGACCTGGACAGGTTACAAGGGTGGGCGGATGAGAATAGGATGGGTTTCAAGTGCAAGGTGCTGCACCTGGGGGGGAAGAACCAGCAGCATACCTACAGGCTGGGGAACTCCCTTCTTGTCAGCACAGAGGGTGAAACAGATCTTGGAGTCATCATTGACCCCCCCCATCCAAGTGTGGGGATGCAGTCAGGAAGGCGAACCGTACCTTGTTATGCATTCACAGATGCATCACCAGCAGGTCCAAGGAGGTGATCCTCCCCCTCTATGCAACATGGGTCAGGCCACAGCTGGAGTACTACGTCCAGTTCTGGGCACCACACTTCAGGAGGGATGTGGACAGCATGGAGAGGGTCCGGAGAAGGGCCACTCGCATGATCAGGGGGAAGCAGGGCAGGCCCTATGAGGACAGGCTACGGGACCTGAACCTGTTCAGCCTCCGCAAGAGAAGGCTGAGAGGGGATCTGGTGGCCACCTACAAATTTGCCAAGGGGGACCAGCAGGCAATGGGAGAGTCCCTGTTCCCCCAAGCACTACCGGGAGTAACAAGGAATAATGGCCATAAGTTGACTGAGAGTAAGTTCAGGCTAGTTATCAGGAGGCGCTACTTCACAGTCAGGGCGGCTCGGAGCTGGAACCAACTTCCAAGTGAAGTGGTGCTCACTTCTACCCTGGGGGTCTTCAAAAGGAGGCTGGACAATCACCTAGCCGGGGTCATTTGACCCCAGCATCCTTTCCTGCCCATGGCAGGAAGTCAGACCAGATGACCTGCTCAGGTCCCTTCCAACCCTACTGAATGTGAAACTATAACTGAAGGATGATTATAAACAGGATGGAGATAGACTGTCCTCCATGGCTGCAGGGGGACAGGAGAAGGAGCAGCGACTTTAAACTCCACAAGGAAAGTTTAGTTTAGGGATTAGGAAGAACTTTCTGACTACAAGGTGGTTAAATATTGGAACAGGTACCCGAGAGACTCTGGAATCACCATACTTAGAAGTTTTAAGGCAAACTCCTGACTGGGATGGCTTAGTCCTACCTTGACCGGGACATTAGACTAGACTTCTTGAGGTCCCTCCCAATCCTGTTTTTCTGTGATTCTTTTGCATGCAGAAGATTTATCCCTGACTCAAGGGATTAAGACAAGTAAATTCCAACCTAACATAGGAAACACCATGAAAGGCAGCAGTGTCACATCCTTTCTTGAACCACAACTCAAGATGTTGCACAAAATTCACGTCAGTGGAGGGTTTTCAGTTCATCCTATTAATAGTCTTAAAAAAGTAATGTTTCCGTGGAGAATGTGGAAATGCTCCTTGAAAGTGGGCAGGGGTAACAGAATTAGATCTGGGCTCTTTATCTGATTCAACGTGTCCTTCTCTGATTGCCTGTCTGCTAGGAACCTCCTCCTTTTGAGTTAGCTCTATAAAAGAGCACAGCTACGGACCTGGAGAGCACACGACAGAGACGACAGTGGTGTCTCAGCCCAGAAACTCACTACAAAGATTTCCTAATGGTTTTGACATTTGTTCGGTTGCTCCCGGTGAGTATTAGTTAAGATCTGGGCTCTGAGCACAGGCGTGCGAGAAACAGGCCAGTGCAAGAAGGCACTGTTCTGATGAGCAGTGGGGATGGTTATCCCTATGCTCAGAGAAGGGATGCTACTTGAGGATAGGTGGGGATGGTTAGCCTTATGCTTAGAGAAGGGATGCTACTGGAGGAGCAAGGAGGGACTCTGCTGAGAGTTTAAAATTCAAAATTATTATATTCAGAGGGGGAGGAGGAGCTCAGGTGACTAGTAACAGGACCTGCAGTTTTCAGACCAGAGGCTAAGTGACAATACATTGCTACCTGATGGTGGTTGATGGGAGACCCCTGGGAAGATGCTGGTGGACACAAGGGCACGAGCGCCCACCTCAGAGAACCCTTCCTCACCATTGGCAAGAATGGCCTTGCTCGGCACTGGTGAGCAAGGGTGAATGGGCCAGGAAGAGTGACCCCAAGGCGTGCAGAGTGGGGGCACTTTAGGAAGAGGCTGTGAAGGAGGTGGCAGCCCTGCTGCCCATTCTGCACCTGTTCAGAGGGAGAACATCAGACTGCGCGGCTGTCACAAATGCTGACTCTGTGCTGCAGTTCTTAAACCCTGGCCACATGAAGCTACTTCTTGAGCGAGTAACTGTGTTTGACTGGATGGGACTGCTGGAAGTTGGTTTCAGCTGAAACACACGGAAACAAATTTCATGTTACTGACTCTTTTTGCAGTCCTGCTCTGCTGCACTGATTAGATGATACCTTTTTGATCTCCCAGTGGTACAGAGAGGGATGGAGATGGTGTGGGGGACGGGGATGACAGGTTTTACATATCTCTGACTGTATCTGCATTTACTGAGTCATTGGTGTATTTTGCAGAGTTCCTCCCCCAGAAAGCTGCAGTTGATTTGTCCATCGTTCAATATAGAGGGTGGATTTGCCAGTCCATGTGAGTATGCAGTGCACATCCATTCACCCCCACCACGGTGCAAGGCCACAGATAGCAGCTGAACGAAAGGCTCTTGTCAAGGCTCCTTGGCACTGAGGCGTTTGTGCTCATTGCAAGAAGGGCAGTCAAACACATGTTCTTCTTTGACATCAGGACCATAAGTCTGTCCTGTCTTTGCTAGGAAGCCAGTGATTTTTCCTCACTATAATCCTGGGATGCACCTGCCCCCTTCGCGTAACTTAGACACCATGCAGTGAGGTCTAAGGCAGCTCCTGCTTAAGGAGGAAGTCAGGTTTGGGAGGTATATTTTTGACCCAGTTTCTCTCAGTAGTGAGTCTATTTAACACTTCTCATGCACATCCCAGGGCAGAACGGAGGAAGAAAAAGTGTGGCATGTCCTAAGCAAGGGCAATCTAGCAAGGGGCACGTACTTCTTTCCCCTCCCTGCCCAAGAAAGGGGGAGACATCAGCTGAGTAGAAAACCTACCTGAAATCAGAAGCACCACTGCCTTCAGGGTCAAAAACAAACAGATCCCATTTGTTTCCTTCTAGGTACGAAGCATAAACTCTTGATTCTGATGCAGAGGATCTGCTTCCATGGGTAGAGCCCACCCCACAGTTGTGACGTCAAGGACCCATCGACTCATCTCCTCCTCCTGCTTTTCCTGATCCTCCAAGCCTGTTGCAGAAATTGGAGCCTGGCAACAGAAAAGGATTGAAAACACTTCTGTCCCTACCAAAAAAAAGGCCAGCGTGTTTGTGGGCAAAAAGGTCATCCCGTTCCAGCAGGCATGAACTTTGTCCCATTCATGCCTGCAGCCACAGCACGAGATAGGACTCTACACCTGATGGTAACTCAAGCCGTATACATGCTCTTGAAAGAAAGGTAACCAAAGGGGTAGTCCAGAGGTTCCTTGATAGTTCTACAGGACCTGGGACAAAACAGAAGCAGGAGCTTCATCTTCATTTCCCCTGCAAAGATGCTAGGATTTAACCAGGTGGAGAACTTGGTTTGCTTTTGAATCAATCACTTTTTCCCCAATCCCTAGACTTCAGTACCCTTTAGATCCAATGCAGAAGGAACTGACACTGGAGATTGAAAGCCCACAGTAGCCGCTTAGGGGGAGGAGAGGGGAGGTCAGGTCTGTGATGAAGAATCATCATCATCAGTTTTGATTAATGTCCAGCTGGAGGGGGACACTGCAGCAAGAGGGGAGGGAGCCTTTGCTCTTCAATCCCTCCACTTAGTGTTTCATGGTTGGGAGGTGCTAGATATCTTCCGTAAAAAAAAACTGACCTAGACATTGCGTCTCATGTGTCTAATGGGACGGGGTGTTTGACACATTTATATGGTACCTACTGATTATTCTTGCCAGACAGAAATAAAATGCTTGTGAGATCCATGTGTGAGATGGTAATTTCTGTTCGAAATATCTGGAGGTGGGCTGGGAAAAAACAAATTTCCTCTATCCACTGCAAGGAACCTCTTTCCATTCCCAAGTATGTAGCTGGGTGTCAAGGAAGACCTGATGGAGTTAACAAATGGTGTGACGCCTTGGGAGTTACTGTTCCTGACACCCTCCCTCCTGCCATAGATCCTTGCTCTGTGGACACAGGATCTGGACAGATCCATACCATCTGGGAAATCCCATCCTATCTTCCCTCTTGCTGCCACAAGAAGTTCTCCCCTAGCAAATCCAAGCCTACACATGCTACAAGGGGCCAGTTTGTTGTTATAGCATCAGTCAATTGTACTTCTCTCAATGGGACCTTCCACTGAGACATCTTGAAGGACCTTGCAGACATGAATGACCATAGCCTTGAAACACTTTCCCTGGGGGAAAGAAGTATCATCCCCATTTCAAGAGATGGAGCAACCTGACATAGCAAGGGAGCTCCCCACCAGGACAGAACCCAGGAGTCTGGGTGTCCACTCCCTTGGTCCACCCATTTTACTATTCTTCTTTCCACATTACTGTTTCCTGCAAAGAAACAATCCCTGTTCGAAAAACACGAGTGTCATTTTTATTAATTAGAAAGCATTTCAGCCTGACTGCAAAATGATGGCTGCATGTAATAAGGTGTCAGTTCTTAGCTGCTTGATATGGCGTGGTATTGAAGGGGAGGCCCCAACTGGCAGAGGTGAATCCATCTCTGCTTCATTCAGAGCTGGAGCTGCTTCTCCATTTGCTCTCTCAACCTGAATTTCTGAACCTGGAATCAAAACAGAGGAAAAGAGAGAGCGAGTCAGGTGGGAGACAGCCTGGGACAGCTTTACCTCGGCCCTCTCCCCACCTCCCTGGGCTGCCTCTTACCTTGCCTGAGACAGTGAGGGGATACTGCTTCATGAACACTATATGCCGAGGGATCTTGAAATGGGAGATCTGAAAAGAAAGAGCCAAGAGCTCTGAAGAACCATGCACCCACTGCTGCTTTGTTACCTATAGCTAAGTGCTTCCAGCTTTAAGGCCACAGCCTCAGCTGGTGTGAATCACTGTAGGCTTCTTGCTTTCCATGCTGATATGCAAATTCACTCTAACTGAGGTCAGTGAGTCAGGGTGGAAACCAGCACAAGCATGCACTTGGCTTGGGGAGAATGAGGGGGAAGGGGTGGGGGGCAGATCCTACCTTGCCTTTGCAGAATGCTTTGATTTCCTCCACAGAGCAGTCCTGTCCGGCCTTCACTCTGATGCATGCGCAGATCTCTTCTCCCATTCGCTCGTCCTTCACACCCACCACCTGGTCGGGATGGAAGGACACGTGAGTCCCGGGAAGCATTGCTCATTGGGTCCCTTCCTTTCCCCAGAGGGCACTGGGAGCGCCTCACCCCTCACGTGCTTCACTGCTCCATCCCCTCACCCTCCAACGGCATTTTTGTCCTGGATGCTGGAGTCCTAAGAGCAGGGGCTTGGGACCAAAGCCCTATAATGGCAGAGCCCACAGGCCTACTCCCTTGGTACTAGGAAGGTTGGATCGCTTCTCTTGGGAGTTAAAGATGCTTTCCCTCAAGTTCCCCATTCAGGACCCCTCGTGCCCCCCAAATATCATCCTCAAATTCCAGCAATGTAGAGACCCAGGTGACACGGAGCCCTTGGAACTGGACTAGGATTATTTCAGCAAGAGCTGTGCCTGGTGCCAACCCAGCACTGACTAAAGTACTGGCTTGCTTATGGGGAGACGTGGCTGATACGAGAACTGGATGATGTTGCTGGCAGACTGGGAGTGGCTGCTCAGAGCAGCTACAAATCACTTCTTCCCTCCTTGGTGATGAAACCTGCAGCACAGCTCCTCTTCAGGGACTTATTTCAGGACAAAAAAAGAGTCTTTCCTGAAGTTTTAGCTATTAATCCTCATTCCCCTCTACAGGGTTTTCCAGAAGAGGATTTCAAAGCATTGCACAGATGTCTGTGAGTTGAGAATTGAGGAGAGGAAGGGCTGCAATCCCCACAGTGCTGATGGGAAAGCGGAATAGAGAACGGGTCCAAGATCACACAATGAGACCATGCCAAGGACGGGGATAGAGCCCAGCTGATCTGACTCCCCCGTTCCCTGCATGATAAAAAGTCACCAGACAAGTGAGAAGCTGAACCCTGATGAAAGGTTCACCAAGCCTCCTTGTGCTACTCGCCTGCACCTCCTCCACCTTGGGGTGGGTGTGTAGAAACTGCTCCAGTTCTGCTGGGTAAATGTTCTCCCCTCCACGGATAATCATGTCCTTGCAGCGACCTATAATTCTGCAGTAGCCGTGCTCATCCAGGACAGCGATGTCCCTGAAATGACACCACAGCCCTTGTTCCAAGTATCTCAGCTAAGAGGAAGGATGACTTATCCACCTGGCCAGCCCCAAGGGGTTCTCTGCCTCATGGGCTCAGTCCTGAGTGGCTGGAGGAAAGGATGTCCAGGGATGAATGGCCAATGGGTCACCCTCCCACCCAGCTTGCAGCCTACCTCCAAGAACCTGCATAAACAAGAGCTCAATCCAAGCTGGAATTCCCTCTGCCGACCTCACCTTAGGTGCATCTAATCTGGTATCAAGTCTCCAGATGTTGTGACCTAAGTGCGACGGACCAAATGCAGCCCTCCTGCCACCTGGTTGAACTCCATGGAAGTTCATGGGACTGGACCTGCTGACTCTAGTCCATTTTGCCTGGGTGAACAGTCACTGCTTCTCACTCACGTACATCCTTTCCCCTCCAGGGCCATGTGCACCAACCACATGCAGGACACAGTTTCAAAGGGAAACAATGTTAGGGAGTTTCCAAACTCACCCTGTCTTGTACCACTTGTCATCAGTGATCACTTCATTGGTTTTGGTGGGGTCTTCCCAGTAGCCCAACATGACGCAGTAGCCTCGAATCTGGAGCTCCCCAGGGGTATTCAGAGGGACAATTTCTCCAGTTTCAGGATCCTCAATCTTTGCCTGCAATGCAAGAGAGCCAGGCTCTTCAGGTGTGATGTAAGTCCCGAGCTGGGTGGAAGACAGACTGGGAGGAAAGGCAGTGGGTGGGGTACGATGCCTACTGCTGGCTGCTGAAGGGGTGAGGAAGGGTGCCAGCAGTTTTTGGGAAAACTGAAGCAGCAGGGGAGGTGGGGAGGATCATGTTCACCTCTGTGTGGGGAAAGACGCATCCCACGGTCTCAGTTTTCTGAGAGATGCTGTCCTGAGGGAATCCCATGAAGGTGACAGGGCTGTTCTCCGTTGTCCCATAGGCTACCTGCAAATGTTGAAAGGGGGACAAGCCTCAGGGAGTCTTCTGGACAAAAAGAAACAGCTAAGCTCTAAGGTGGGTGTATCTAGTGACAATTATGGGAAGCAGGGATTCTTCACCATAGGCCGCAGACGCCAGGCACACCTTCCCACGGTCAGATCCAGAGGGCAGCTCCGGATACGACTACCCCGTTACACCTCCCCGCAAGGAGACTGAGAAGAAAGGAGCAATGAGATGGTACACATTGGATGCTTTCTCCCCCATCACTGCCACCCTAACAACATTCAAAGCCTCCCCCTTCCCCATGATCTGCTGGAAGGGCTTTCTCTCACCACTAGCCTACCCTTAAGCCTTCCCTGCTCTCAAGTGGTCTCCCCTGCTTCTACCATTTCCCCTGGACAGGGCCCTGCTCCATCTGCTCCCTGACAGCCCTGCTTGACTCCAGATGTCTGTCTCTCACAGATGTACCCTCACAAGCACACTCTCTTGCTCTTCTAGATGTGCCTCGGGTCTGCCACGTAACAGGGCACTTGGAGCCCGGGAAACAGTCCCAGAGCTGGTTCCAGGCCCCTGTTGGTGGTTATATGTTTGATCTCCCAGCACGGATGCTTGCCCTGACCCTTTGGTGTGCGGACATCAGAATTCCTGATCCGTCAATAAAGGCATCCCAGGATGGCGCCAGCCACTCAGGGCAGCTACATTTGCAAGCCAAAGGCACCACATCAGGACAAAGGCTGTGGTGCTTCTGGCTGATGTTCCCTCAAACGCTAACCCCGGCTGTGGGTTCTGAGTCACCGCATTTCGAGGCCACTCAGCTTTTTTTTTTTGCTCATCCCAGCAGTCAGCAAGTTCACAAGGCCATACGCTCCGGACGCCAGGGAGAAAATGAAATGCACTTCCATGGATCTCAGAGTTCCAGCTGGCTCTTGTGCTGCTAGGGCTGGGGGCTGTTTTGTCCCTAGAGGCTGGGACCTTCTTTAAGAGATAAGAGATTCATCTATGAGCTTCACTGATGATGTCTGGGCAGCCCACCCATTGAGCATAGCATGGTGATCCAACGTGGCTGGATTAGCAACAGAGCCAAACTGGCTTGGCAACAGAGCCTCATGGGATTAGACTCAGAGATTGTTTAATTTCTGCTGCTGGCCACTTTCCCCAAGTACATTCCTGCACTGCTTAAGTCTCTATGCAGGCCACAGTTTCTGGAAGCAGTTTGGGATGGTCCCACTTGAGTCCCAGACAGACCAAAGATCCAGAGGTTGAGCGCAATTTTTGAAGACCAAGGGTAGACCAAGACCCTCCTAGGGGGTGTAAAGTTGGGCCCCACTTATGATTTGCTTTGGAAACTCTTGCTAGCACACAATAGGCTCCATTCAAAAGCTGGCCCAGATTATCTAGTGGAAGCCTCTCCTTTACCAGAAGCCCTGTGATTGTCTCCAGGATATTACAGAGACCATCATGGTGAAACCTTATATTGCTAGGTGCTTGGCAACCCAGCAGGAAAGATTTCAACTGTGCTTCTCCATCCAGGCTTAATCACAGTTTAGCCATTGGGAGGAAACATACAGGGCTTAATGTTTAAAAACGGATTTCTTTCCCACCCACTAAATAGGAGTTTGTTCGCTAGAGTCGCGTCTCTTTTTATGGATGAGACCTAAAACCAAGATCTTAAACACTTATTAAAAATCCCACTGCACTTTTTAGCAAGAACAGAGGCATCAGCCGCAGTGTTTGGGCCAGATTCTGAGTCATTATTTTCTTCCTCCCTCAACTTCCCCTGTAATTTTAATTGCCTGCAGCCTTGCGTCCAATCTGCTTGCAGGATGCTCCCAGGGTGGCTGTGGTGCACCAGTGCCCTGGAGATGTCTGGTAATGTGCTCTGGGTACCATGAGCTCAGATCCAAGTGCTGCCTGCCTGTGTGCCTGGCACCAGGCTCTTCAGGCTCCAGCTCCAGCTTGGCTATGAATGATTGGGTACTCAGAGTAACAGAGGCTGCCTCACTAGGACTGCCAGAAACACAAGGGTGTGAAAACCTCAGGCATAACTGTTTTAACAGCTGCAATAAAAGATGGACCAGAGGTTCCCAGTTCAGACTCCGGGATATCAGGGTAAGAAGAGTCTCGACCCTCTGCACATTCTTCCACTGTGACTATGGCTAGTGCCCTGGCCACAACAGGGTCTCTCCATCCCAGCCCACATCCCAGGCTGGCTCTCAGGCAGCCGTCCATGGCCTGCTGCTCCTGTTCACCTGCAGCTTCCAGCTCCCTCTGGCTTCAGGCAGTGTTTGTCTTGCCTGCACAACAGGGGCTCAGTCGCCTTTCAGGGGCTGCCCATTGAAGTCTCGATACAAAGATGTTAAATGATGCAGCATGTCCTTAGGATCCTTTGCCCAGAAGGGACCAATGGAGGATGCAAGGACAAGCCAACTGGAGACCATTTGGCAATGGTAGGGAAGCTGGCAACCCACCATAACCAGGCGAAGTGAGTGTCCCCCGATTAGCACAAGTGGCAAATATTTAAAAAACGACAAGCCTTCCAGGTTATTCTTGGTGGTGAGTGATGCTTTCTTGAAGAGTGCAGAGTCCTTGTCTGAACCGGGAATAAAAAAACATCGTAGTAGAACTGTCTGTCTTTAAACACTGCTTGAAAACATTTCCTGCTAAGGCTGTTCAAACACCAGCCACTGAGGACGGGGCAAAGAGGTTTCTAAAGACAGTGTCTTAATAGACAAGAAACATACAAGCAAAACTGGACAACAGTCTTTGCGGCAAACATTTGGGAATTGACCTCCAGGGTGGAATGGGGGACGCAGCAGACCCAGGGTCTAGCCTCAGCTTTGCCACTCACTTGCTGTTTAATTCGGGGGAAGTCATCTGAGCTTTCTATGCCTCAGCTTCCCCATCTGTACAAGAGCAACAGATGCATTCATTCCCCTTTGCCCTCAAATAATACTAAGAGTTTGCACTTAAAGGACCTGACTCCTCACTGCATTTTTCAAAATGGAGCTAGGCTGGGGTGGAGTGGAAAATCATTGGACACCATAAACCCTTCACAGACGCTTCCTCTATAGATTATTATTACTTAGGATCAGGGTGGGGCAAAAACTCTGTTTCCAATGTAATAAGTCACTTTTGATTGCCTGGGCTGTATGAGAATGTGGAGGCACAGACAAACAAACCACAAGCCAAACCAACCTTAATTCCGTTCATGATCTAGGGCAAAAAGGCAGGACCAGCTTCAGAAAAAAAAGGGCAAAAAAAATTGACACGCGATAAAAGGGATTTCCAGGCTTCAAAGAGGGAGAAACGAACAGCTGAAAAGAAAATAACAGACCAGAGGAAGTACTTCAGAATCCCTAGCTGGCTTCTCCCCATGGCCCACACCATGCAGGATGGTTTTAATCAGCACTAAACCAGTGCCTGATATTTTGTCTAGCCTTGAATATCTCTGCTCTTGCCAGCCCCAGACCCTCCCTTGGTAGCTTGCTCCAGACTGTCCTTAACTCTTTTTCTTAATTAGCTGGTTCACTGGGGAAATTGGCCCTGATGCTGCCCCTGGGGCTGGACTCTCTGGGGTTGCTCCTCGACCCCGAAGTGTATAGTGGGCCTGACCCAGATCCTCTGCCTGGGTTTTGCTAACCTGTAAGTTGCTGATCACGTTGCACAGGGGCATCGTGCCCCAGTGACATCTTCCCCCATAGCCACAGTATCTTCTTTGTGTCAGGATATCAGGACACAAACAAGCTCATCTTGTGGGACATCCTGCTGGAGTCCCCACCCACCCAGACAGTCTGAGTTGGGATGGGACGGAAAGGATCCCAAAAATATCGAGTGGCCAAAGCGATGCCTGTGTGTTGTGACAGAACAGCTGTGCCCCAAGAAGACCATTTAAAACCGGCAACCCAACCGGACTGGCACAATAGCCCCAGGAGACGGCTGCTTTCCTACATTTCTGAAAACCGACCTCCTGTTATTGCACAGGCAGGACAAACTGCTCCTAGTGGTTTGGAGTTAAAGCTGCTTTTCTTCTTTCCAGGCCGATGCGTGCTCTCGAGGCACCTAAGTGTTTCCCCAGCCCTGCGAGCATTGCAGTAACACTGCTCAGTGGTGACCAATGAGGCATGCGGCAGTTCCTTGCTGTTTTATCAACACCTTGAAAAAAACACTTTTGCTGGGCAGCTACCCCAGCGACTGGACGCTGGGAGACGGCAATAGAAACTGGAGGTGGGGAAGGCAGAAAGCAAATGGAGAGAGAGAGGGAAAGTACAGAGGCAGAGACTTGGAAGGACAGAAACAGAAACACCCTTGGCTCTGAGTGTATCTGAATGCTCCAAGCAGTTGGCGTCTTGCAAAGATGGAAAAGTTGGGAAAAATTAGGCACAACCATGCCCCCCCCACCACCAAAAAAAGTCAACGGTAAAGTTCCCTTGAACTTTTCTGGGGACAGGACTGTGCCTGATGGCCCATTACCTTCCTGTCTGCATCTTCTATTAATAATTACCATTTGAAACACACACAGCTTCTGGGAAATAGCATCCAGCCACTCCCAACTCACACACCACCTGCCTAACGCCCTAGGAGGAAGGATGGGTGGGTGCAGATGAACAGGCCAAGGATGCCCAGGCAAGTCCTTGCTCTCGGAAGTTTTAACCCTATGCTGTCCCATTCCTGTGGGGGGTTGTTTTCTAAGTCAGGAAGGGGGCAGATGCCTGGCAGCAGCAGGAGGAAGGGGGTTGAGGGCTGGCGTAGGGGTGGAAGTAGGCCTCCATGCAGTGCATGGGCAACAGGTGAGAGGAGACCTGGAAGAAGAAGTTCTGCCAAGGAGTGAGCACCCAGCCAGAATCTCTGTGGTCCAGGCTGATTAACAGATGTGTGTGTTATAAGGCAAGGGAGAGGTGAAGAAACCTGGAGGAAGACCTGGATGGACAGGGTTTGGTGGGAGAGGCGGGAAAGAGAAGACTGAGAGATGAGGAAGACAGGCTGGCAGGGATCAGAGAGGAAAGCAGGCTAGAGGAGGGTGGACAGGCAAGGCCACCAGGGAGCCGAGCTAGTAGCACACTGGTCGGGGGGGGCTGCCGTGCATACAGCTCCCTAAACCCAGAAGCATGCTGGCTGGTCTTTAAGTGTGGACAGGGAGGTCCTGAATGGACAGTAAGCTGGAGACAGGTCTCTGAAGCTCTAGCTACTGAAAAGGCTTCTTGCAAAGGCCCAAGACAGAGAAACCCTGCTGCACTCGGAGCCTCGGGATACAGGGCCTGGGCCTATAGTCCAAGCCTGACCATCATGAAGGATATGGCTCTCCCCACGGACTGCATTACTGAAAGAGCAGCAGAGCACTTGGCATCCTCAAAGACCTTCTTTGAGGATGCCAGGACCATCCATAGGAGCTCCCAGGGAGCATGCAGGAGTGCTCCCAGTGTGCTTCTCAGAACAAGATGCAGCCTACACCTGGCTATGGGCTCTGCCAGGTCTCTGAACCACTGCAGAGAGTAGGGGGAAGCCACAGCCCTGCTCTCACCTTGCTCTTCCCTCCCCCTTTCTGACACCTTGTACCTATGGGAGTATTAGGAACAGGCAAGGAGGAGCCCCCCTCATTCTCTCCATGCACCAATACAAGGGCTAACCTGTGCTATTCTCTGCAGGTAGAGAATGATGACGGCTTTGCCTCTGACCCCACTCACACCACTACAATCCCACTGGCTTCAGCGTTACTTCAGATTTACCCCGATGCAAAGCACAAAGCAGTAAGGACACTGGCTGAAGGGAGCAAGTGACTCTGGCTAAGGGCATTCGTATCCATTCGTGCACAGAAGTCACCCTTGTGACTAATAAAAATAAAGCTCAAAAGGGGAAAGGACGCTTTCTTAGAACTGCCCTGACCCACGACACCAAAGCAACGCCTTATATCTTTATTTATGCTGTTTTTAGAAACCACCTATTTATTTGCTTAGCCCCTGAGGGCTGCGGGAGGGAGTCAAACACTGGTAAATGACTCCCGCACTGGCTTTACACTCTCTGTGCCGTGGTAAATGTTTGCAGAACTGTTAATCAATTAAGAAAGAGGGGATTGCAGGATAATCCTGCCTCTTTGGAGCTGTCCCAGCAGCCCTGGTCTCCGGGGAGCTCAGAGGCAAAGGGCTGAAAGGGGCCCAGTGCGCTGCGGCATGGCTCCCGCTGCAAAAAGGAACACGAACACTGGGCCCCTTGTCACCGAGAGACCACATGCCACCCATGAGACACTGGCACGGCTCAGTCAAGCTGTGAACTTGTGAGGACCGCTGCCCGTGTGCTGCCCCAGGCCTCACTCATCCCCAGTCAAGGGCTATGAAATTCAATGAGGAGAGACCTGATCCTGCCAGCCAGGAGCTCAGACACAAACAGCTGGGAGCCCGAGGGCCCCTCCCAGCAGCTGGGCATGGCGCCAGTTTGTGGGGGGGACGCCAGTGCGCGCCCAGCCTCCCTCAGGAATCTGCTTGCCGAGGCAGGAGAGTCGAAAACATTGGGGGGGAAAAGAATCTTCCTTTTTATGAAACTTCTGGGCATCTAAAAGGGGGATTTAAAACCAGACTTCTGCTCCCCCCGCAGCACGGCCGCACTGCCCAGCTCCCGTTCTGCGAGAGGCACGTTCTGGCCGGAAAGAGCAGAGAAGCCACTTAACCTCTGCAGTACCAAGTGGGCTTGTCCTACGTGCACCACTTGAGGGTGTGATATGCATCCTGCCACCTCCAGGCTGCAGAACCTCCCTACTTCTGCACTCCTGACACATAAGGGCCTTGACTGAGTTCAGGATCTACACGAGGAAGGGAGTCCTTACCCCGGAAAGCGGGCAATAGGCACGGCAGACAAACAGGGAGAGAAGGGATATTTTACACTTCAATCGAGAAAGGAGAGAGAGAGGGAGGGAGAGAGAGCCACAGAGCCATATAATTTAACTGGAAAGGATGTTGTGCAGTGCCACGTGTGGGCAAAACTTATTTTGTGGATGGAGTTTTAAGAGGACCGCTGTTTTGTTCCTGAACTGGCGGGGACAGCCACAGGCACGGCAGCCTGTTAGCAAGATTGAGAAGAGGAAAGTGAATATCACATGCTCATTTTCTCCAAACGGGACAAAAGAAGATGTACCATAGGACCTCAATGATCAATCAAAAATAGCCTGAATTTACATATCAGTCGGGAGCTGCTCATGCAGGAGACTCAAGGCCATTCACTATTTGCAGAAATCATTCAGAAAAGAGTTATGAATAAGTCTCAGGAAGCTGTAAGTCACAGGACATTCATTCAATCAGCAGCAAGAAAGAGATGGAGTGTTTGGGATAAATTACTTTTTTTTAAAATCATTCACCCAGCTCCAGCGAGGAGCTTTACTAATCATCCCCAACTTGAGCTGTTACACTCCCAGCCTGCACTGGGCCAGCAAAGTGAAAAAATCTCGGAGAGATTTTTTTGGATGTTTTTCCTTCTACATGTCCTAATCCCTTTGAGAGTCTCAGTCAGGCCATTACCCCAGCACTCAATCCACTTGCCTTATAGTTTTGGAGGCCTGGGTCCTACATGTTACTCACCCCCAGGCAAACTTGTTTGGTGGCAGCTGGGAGCTTCCCAAGAGGATGAAGCTGGACCGTTCTTAGTGGTGGCAGACGACAGAACAAGGAGCAATGGGCTCAAGTTGCAAAAAGCGAGGTTGAGTTTGGATATTAGGAAAAACTCTCTCACTAGGAGGGTGGTGAAGCTGGAACTGGAACAGGTTACCCAGAGGGGTTGTGGACTCTCCATCCTTGGAGGTTTTTAAGACCCGGCTAAACAAAGTCTTGGCTGGGATGATCTAGTTGGGGGTGGTGCTGCTTTAAGCAGGGGGTTGGATTAGATGACCTCCTGAGGTCCCTTACAACCCTCATTTTCTATGATTTTAACAGATGCTTGACTCTCACACAGCTCTGAAATCCATATCCAGGGACAAAGCGGGACAAGAGAGCCAGGATTGGGAAATACAGAAAAAGCAAGGCCTGCATCCATAATGCACCCCCACTCTCCCAGGCCTCTCTGTGTCTTGGGTTCAAGATAACTTAAATTCACCCCAGAATTTGTATCCCTCCCCCAACTTTTTATAAAATAAAAGCAACATTTGAATATACATCTGCAAAACAGAGGCTCTGAAGTTGCCAGTCCTTTTGCATAACACTGCTGGGACCATGCTCAGTGGTGCTGGCTAATTCCACATCTCAACAATGGAAAAACCCAGTGATCCCTGTGAATAAGCCAGTTTCTGTGTCCTAAGTCAGCCCTTGGATTTCCTCCCTTTCTTGAGACCGTCTCGCCTCTGCACAAACTCCGTTGGGGCTTTGTAGCCAGCCTCAGAGGTGGAAGCCTCAAAAAGCTCACAGTCCTGCACTCAGCTCGCAGTTGTTTGCTGCAGCCAGGACCTGGCGAGAAACCAGCTCAAAATGTTCCATATCCAAACCCCACCCCACAGCTCCTCCCCAACCTCTTCCTCTCGCACTCAAAGATGGGGAGACCGAGGGCTCTTAACATCTTCACCTTATTCCCCTGGAAGGGGACAGCGTGAAGCACCTGCTGTGTTTAATTCCCCTCCTCGTAACTCTTCTTTGCAATCATTATCCCGATAAACACAACCACTTGAGGCCCCAGGCCCTGCTCCCTCTGCATTTCCACTGGCCGGATACTACACTGCATCTTCCCAAGTCCCCACCATCACCTTCCCCTCTCCACACTTCCTTCTCAGAAGCCCTAGGTTCTGACCCAGCCCCACATACCACACTGGACTCACCACTCCTCAGGAGTATAGCACAATGGTCACCACGCCTCTAAGTTATTCTGGCCATCTCTAAAGAGGCACCCTCACCATTTCATCAAGGTCTCAGCCACCATCCCATCCTCAGTGACTGTGTATGGCAGAATCCCAGCTGCTGCCCCCCGCACTCCAGTCTGCCCAGAAGGCAGTCTAACAGAAATGTCTCGGACATACCGTTTCTCCCCATTACTATGGCACCATGTGCTAATCCTTCTCCAGACAGGGTTATCGGGCTGCATTTAGCTCAGCAAGTTTTGCTCTTCAAGGGAAACCACCTGAAGCTCTGCAGGAACTAAGACTCTCCCCACCATACCTGCTGCAAATTTAGACAGCCCCTACACATGGTCAAGATCCTGAAGTCCCGCATGGCACTAACATCCACCTAATGCAGGTGCAATCCCCACAGAGTGCAACGATGAACCTTCCCCAAATCTCCTACAATTATATTTAGTCCTTGCCAAGAAATACTTCAACTGAAGTCAACAAAAAGTTGGGCAGAATAAGGAATTTGACCTTTTGGGAACAACAGGGAAAAGGTGCCTGCCTGAATGTCTTCTAAGTTTTGGATACTAATCCAAGATACAGCTCTGTAAGTACTAAGCACATGGAAAACATCAGTGCAAGAGGCTAGAAACTGCGCTAGTTAAGTGTCTGTTAATGACCCTTCAATATCTCAGTACTTCAATACCCCAATACTGCTGGTACTGACATGGGACAACTTTGTTCTCCTTTAGGTGCATCTGGATTCCTGTCTCTCAAGACCCTGTTCTCCATCTCTGAATTACTTAGAGCCTTGCTACCACCTGATTCAGTGGGGAGTGAAGAAATCCCCAAATCTAGGCAAGCTCCCTGTTCCCTGTGTCCGTTCACCTCCCTGCTCCAGTGAGAAAAACTACCTCTACACAGTCCCTTTTTTTTTTTGCAGCACAGTGTGAAGACGCTCCTCTGCTTGGTGCCAAGGAGTTAAATTCACACTGAGCTCCCAAAGTCAGTTGCTTCCAAGTAAGAGTCTGGCTGCTGCCTGTGGTTTGTGGGAAGGGATTTTGTTTTTTAATAACATTATAAATAGGGCTGTGTTCAGCTTGCTGCAGACACACTCACTTTCTCTCCCATCTCCCTCCTCCTGCTGCTGCCGCTTCTCTTTCCCTTCCTCCCTTCAACAACCATCCCAGTTCTGGCCATGGACCGGTCAAGCTTCTTCCTCTGCTTACTGGTGTGCCTCCTTCCCGTTCTCCAGGCATGTCCCCCAAGCTGCCACTGCCACGGTGGGGATCTCCAGCACGTCATCTGTGACAACGTGGGGCTGAAGAAGATCCCGAAGGTGCCAGAGCAAACGCGGCTTCTCAACCTGCAGCGAAACAACTTCCCTGTCCTGCCGACCAACGCGTTCAGGGAGATGAAAGGGCTCGTGTCCCTCCATCTCCAGCATTCGCACATCAAGGAGATCTCCAGTGGCGCCTTCCGGGGACTGAAGCAGCTAGTCTACCTGTACCTCTCCAATAATGACATCAGCATCATCAAGATGGGAGCCTTTGACGACCTGACTGAGCTCACCTACCTATACATGGACAATAACAAGATCTTGGACTTGCCCAAAGGGCTTCTCTCACCAATGATTAACCTCTTCATCTTGCAGCTGGGCAGCAACAAGATCAGAGAGCTGAGGTCTGGGGCCTTCAGCGGTACCAAGGACCTGCGCTGGCTCTACCTCTCTGACAACTCCATCTCTTCCATCCAGCCTGGGGCCCTGGATGACGTGGAAAACCTTGCCATCTTCCACTTGGATAAGAACCAGCTGAGCACTTATCCCGTGGCTGCAATGAGCAAGCTGAGGGTGGTGGAGGACCTGAAGCTGTCTCACAACCCTATGAAGGTCATTCCTGACAACGCCTTCCAATCCTTCGGGCGCTACCTGGAGACCCTCAGCCTGGACAACACAGGCCTGGAAAAAGTAAGTTCCTTTCCACTCTCTTTCTTTTTAAATAAGCAGCATAAGGTCAAATCCTCTTCTCCTTTACATGCTGCCACTCTAAGGACTTTCATCCTGATTTGCACTCATGCAAAAGAGAGGAGACTCTAGCCACTCGTCTCAGCAGAATGGTTTAGTGTTAATAAAAATGAAGCTGAAACTCTGAAAAGGTCTATGGGAGAAACTAAGAAAGGGAGGGCTCTATCCTCCTGGGATCCTTGTTCTCCACAAAACTGAGATCTCCTGGGCTGGGCTCAGAATGGTGGCATGTTCCACCTCTACCCAGGAGCTGCACCAGTCCAGTGGGAAATGTAGTCTGGTGCTTTAGAATAAACAAGCAAAAGGAGCCCCCAGCACATGGGAGGTGGGATGAGAGAAGCAGCTGGCCCATGCCTTCATTAGCAGGGCACAAAGACTGGCCGGCTGGATGGTCTTGTCACCTTAGTTCAACCTGGGTACCTGCTGTTGCTCAGACGTGGGAGAGTCCTCCAGACAGGTCATGGATAGGAGCAGTTTCTTACTGACGCGTTGCAGACAGGTAGATGGGGCAGACACACAGACCTTCACCTTTTTCTTCCTCCTTCCAACTTTACACGTTATAAAGAAAGGTTTGTTTATTGATGATCTTACCAGAGAAACCCTTGCAGTGTGCTACAAAGAAGCCCATTCAGGTATCCCAGCAAAATACCCCTCTTCTTCTCCTGGAAAAGAGGCATGACCTACAGGTAGCAGCATCACACTCAAGGAACTGCTTGAAACAGAGCCCCTAGACTGCCAGACAGGGGTGCAAGGAAAGCAGCAAATCCAATGCAGGAAGATCCCCTGCGAGTAGCAGTGTTCTCAATGCCCGGCTGAGATGTAAGCAGATGGCACATATACAGAGCAGCTCACAGCTTCCCAGGATACCACAGCTGGAAGCAGAAAGATGAACACTCCAGCAAGAAGACATCCCAGTCTCTGGTACAGGAGGAACGAGAATATCCCAGTGATGAAACAGAGCACCTTGTAGCAAGAGAGAGCTACCGCTGTGCTGTGCTGGGGTGCACCAGCTGTCTGCATTTAGGAGGACAGACCTGAACAGCAATACAGCACTAGCAAAAGACTTGGGACTTATACCACAGCCAGGGGATGAAGGACCAAGTCCGTGTCCCAGAATGCCAGACTAGGAAGCTAGAAGCTGAAATGTCTCCCATCGAGGATGACAGCACAATGCCACCTACTCAATATTTGAGATTTTTCCTGTTCTTGAGATGATGGTCCCAGAAGGATGGGTGTAATCAAGATTTCATTTATGAGAGGACACCCTGTAGTGAGCGTATTGCCCAGTGAGCATGTCATCCTCCAGGGATGTCACTGCTGTAGGCATCAGCTCAGTTTCTATCCAGTTTTACGATGTGCACATCAAAAGCTGCAGCTTAAATGCAATACCTGCTGAAGAGGCCCAAGAACTTGTATCTGAATTACCTGAAAAAAACTGCAAGTCTTAGAATGGAGTCATGTAGATCTTGAAACAGTTTGAAGAAAAGCTGCTTGGAATAAGAATGGAACTGCAAGAACTGAATTCAAATCTATTTTAGTCTTCAACCTGTAGCAGATACCTTGGCTGGCAACAGCGTATGCAGCTTCTAGGAGGTTGATGTATTATATCCATTCTCACTCTCTGTCTGTTATACATACGGCGTTAAGCTGCATTCGTGTTTTAACCTGACTAGTCTAGTTCTGGAACCTGCTCATCCCTCCCATCCTTTCCGTCATGATCTTAATACTGCTAAAAATATAAAAACTGAGAAAAAGGCAAACCAAGTATTATCTAAGCTGGCACACTGCTTCTTTCAGATGGAAGGACCCCAAACCACAACACTGATATAAAATATATATATAGGAATCCTTTCATCCAGCCTTCTAGAGTGGAATGCATGGCTGCATAATAGTCACACATCACACAGCTCCTTTGCATGGGAAAGTGGAGAAGAAAGGCATATCCAATGAAATGTGCAGGAGTTTAGGAAGACAGAGCAACTCTGTGTAGGTTAATAACCCTAACTTCGTAAAAAAGAGTCCTATCGTCACTTAATGACCATTTGTTGACAAGATCTTTTCTGAAATATGGCATCCCCAACATCACTGTACCTTCAGGACATTCATTTATTCCAAGAGAGCAGTGCCACCTAATGATCAGTCCTGTTTCACAGCTATGGATGTACTGAAGCTTTTGTTTCTAAGTTACAATTTTTTTTCTCATATCTTCCAGAGGCTTGGTATACATAAGAGCCAGGGGTGAGCCATTTTGCACTGCTAGATGACTCCCTCATCACAAAGGCCACATGAGATGTGACATCATCATCATGTACTTTAAATGCTGCCAGCATCCAGGCTGTGACCCCTTCTCCACAAAATACTGTGCTCAGCTTTCTTTCTGGAGCTGGCTGGGTTTGTCTGTGGAGCTGCAAGTTGGCATAGCCAATTGGGTCTGAAAGTAATCTTTAGCAGAAGTCCTCCCATTGTCCCAGTGCGAATCGAAGAGAAGAGATCTGAAACACGCTGGCAAATCTAGAACTTGGAAAATCCTCCCATCTCCACTTCTATATAAGTTACTACCATAATACAAGTCATTAATAACTAATAATAAATAACTCATTCATCATGGATGAGGCTAACACTGTGGTAGTTTCCAGCCCCGCCATGAACGACCCATGCCCCCAGTGGCTGAGGGGCACAACGGCGGCGAACAGGGAGCTCCCGCAGATGCTGCCAGCGCTGTAGGTGGTGGAAGTGAGCACCTACCAGGAGTGCACTGCCATGCTCAGGGGGTGCATGTGCACCCACATGTACCCCCTATGAACCCCTGACCCCCACCACCAAAAAAAACCCAATACCAGTTGCTAAAGGGGCTTGGGACCAGATTATAGGTGCTATAAGAACAATAATCATGCACCTAAATGATGACTCATCTTGGAGGATCTCAAAATTCATTATCAGTTAAGCTCTGGGAAGAAGCAAAGTAGCTGTTTAAATGTCATGTGACAACACTTTGGGACAGGAAAATGAAGGAGGAGGCAACACTGGAATGAAGCCCCAATGGGATCTGAGGTTGTTGGAATGTAAAATCTCTGTTTGTTCAGTAATGAACTAGAAAGGATGGCCCCAAGCTGCATTTCCACAATTACCTGCAGCATGCTGGAGGCCTCCCGTTCAAGCACTTATCCAACACAGTGCTGCTCGGTTTGGGAGACCTCACAGGTCTGAAGCTTAAGAGATGTAGCAGCAGGCCCCATCCTTCAAGCTTGCAGCTAAAAGCAGACTCCTGGACCCAAACTGAGGGGTCATTTCAGAGAACTGCACCAGTGAGATCTTCTAGCTTGAAGTGACAATACGCAAACCACCATTTGAACTGGAGAGTTTTCTGTTGAGCCTGATACGTGTCCTCTTCCCTCCTCCTCCTCTTCAGAGGCCGTGGGAGGAAGAGGACAGTTTGTTATTGCCAAGAGAATCACCCTTGCAGTCAACAGCTTCGTCTGCAACTAGTGTCCTCCAAAGATTGTCTGTGTGGATGGGTTTGCGTTACAGAGGGACTTTTCCAAACTATTTGACAAAGAGGATGGTGAGGGGGAGAAGGAAGAGGCTATGTGGTGATGCCTAAACAGCTGGCTTTATCTCTGGCACAGGCAGCATTCTGCTCCCTGGTTTGTGAAGAGGACCTGCTTTTTCAGCCTGCCCCCGGGCTGTGAATGCACAGATTTTGCAGCATCTCTGGCAAACGACCAGGCAGGAGAGGAAAGAGAACGAAAGAAGTGAGGAGGCTGAGAGGCTGGACGCCTGCCTTGCTGTTCCTACGCTGCTCTGAAGCCAAGTGTAACTTTCCACTCAATGTCCACTGGGCACTGCCAAAACCTACAGCCCCTTCAGACTCCACAAACACCGCCTCCATCAACAGTTCCACAAAAGAGAAGGCGACAGGCACTGGGAGAAACTCCAGCTTTGGAAAGGTTTATACATAGGGACATGTCTCAGTCCAGTTACCGAGGTGGTGCATGGCTCAGGAACAAACGGGACAGGCCAGACTGCAGCTTTTCTTTTAGGGTGCAAGTACGTGGCTGTGAAAAACAAGTAGTAAATGGGAAGGAATGGTCCCATCACTCTTGAAAGACTGTGCCCTCTTCCTTGCTCTCTGTCCTGTCTCCTCAGTCCTTCCCCTTTGCCACTTCTTCTCTCCAGCCTCACTTCTGTCACTTGAGCACCTGCTGCCTGGGGGGGAAGTATAGAGAGAATACCCTACCCTTGCTTCGTAGTGATCTGCATCAGCCCTTGTGCTTCAGTTTACAGATCACGCCTTTTCTGGAGTGACCACCCTGAAGACGGTCCATCTCGAGAACAACAGGCTGACCCAGCTGCCCAACAACTTCCCATTCGGCAAACTGGAGAAGCTCACCCTGTCCAACAACCCCTGGCACTGCTCCTGTCAGCTAGCTCCTCTGCGCAAGTAAGGACCTATTCTCTTCTCTATTTCTCCTACTCAGTCTCATTGCCCAAGTCCTGGTCAGAGCTACGTGGCTCCCATCCATTTGGCGGAGGGGAAGGTCTCAGTGAGTTTTAGCTGGCTCTGGCTGACCAAGTATGGGGAACAGTACTGGTCAGCTGTGCCAAAGGAGACAAGCCCCATGCCAATACCTTGCACTAAGATGGTTACCAGTTTCCCTGGAACCTTTGACCAAGTGACTGGCCACTCGTGCCCTTCTGAAACTTGAGGTGGTGGTGGGGGGGGCTTTCATTTGTCCTTCTCCAGGTGGTTGAAGGCCAGCCGCACCCGCCCTGATGGGGCCTGCTTCTCACCAGCTCAGTACCGAGGACAGCAGATCAGAGACGCTGCCGTCCTCCGCAGCTGCAAGCTACCTACCAAGCGGTCTAAGAAAGGAAGTCGCCATTAAACAGGTAAGAGCCAACCACACCCAGCAAATAACCTCTGGCCTTGTCTCTTTTCTTGCCAACTTCAAACAGATCTTGGTGCCAGCCAAGTCAACGGGACTTTTGTTTTCACTGATACTAAGGTCTGAGCCCAAAACAATTCATCCATTTATTTGCGGAGATCTACATCTGAAAGTCTCTGTTTCCCTGCCAACAGTGGATGGCACCACAGCTTCCTATTGCAGAGGACTGAGGCCAGAGCAGCTGCAATGAAGTCAGCTCAGTGAAACAAACCCAGATATAAGGCCAGGCCACAGAAGGCAAGCAAGAGTAAAATGCCTGGGGGCTGACAGACGTGCAGCTCCCTGGTCTAACTCATGGCGCTTCACTGAAAGCGCCATGAGTTACACCAACCCTCCCAACCAAACAGACATTCACTGTTGGGTCAGGAGGGTGGGGGAATTGAGCTCTGCTTTGGAGCTGATCCAGTCAAGGAGCTGCACATCTGCAGTTTCTCTCCCCTAGCCCTGGCCCACCCACTCCCAGCTCCAGTGGTGCCTACACAATGGGAGGAGAGGAGCAGGGAGGGGAAGGAGCTCGGGCTGGAGTTTGCCCAGCCTACCCTAGAGTGGGGGCAGGTTGACTGGAGCCCCAGGTGGCAGGAAGCTCCAATCCACCTGCTCTTCCCTGCCCCCACGTGCAGGCTGGGCAGACCCCATCCAGAGTTCCCTTCCCCCTCCCTCCCATTGTAGACAGCACCAGGGGGCAGGGATGGGTTGCATCAGTCCAGCCACACAAGCACACAGAAGTTAATGAAGGCACTCTGCTTTGGAGCACCTTCACTTGAACCCTCATATCATAAGGCTTAATTTGTCACATGATGGGGGACTTTTAAAATACTCTACAACCATGCACTTCTGTTAGGGCACAGCTGTGGAGCACTTTCAAGGGGCTGATCATGCGACAAATGTAACTTTGATCTGTGCCCTCTATTAAGTATCAGGTCCAGTACTTCTTTGCTATAGGCCCTATGCAAATAATGGAGTTAATTAAAACAGCAATAATTTGGCCCACGGTTTCTTCCTGGTTTGGGACCACAAGGCTTTCATTTACTGAAGTTTGAAAAGTATCTATTTAAAAGATATTTCTGAAGGGTCTGGAGAGATCAGAGAATGAGGGATGAGATATTCAGCCTTTTGCCTCTCAGTCAAATCTGGCCAGTCAGTAATGGCCAAGTCACCGCCACCCCACAGTTCAGGGTTTGTGTGAAATAAGCTGGTAACCACCATGTCGTTTCTAAGGGAGCTGGTGGTCTCAGCACAAAAGGAGGCCATGGAGCTTGAGCTAATCTCATGTGCTGGCAAAAACCCCTCAGGTCTGGTTTAAAAACACATTGGCAGGGAACAGCTGGGAAAGTTGGAACAATGCCTCTTCAGCCTATATCAAAACAGAAGCCCTCGCTCTCCAGACCTGCCAATCCAGCACCTTCCAACAAGCTATAGATTTACTTCAAATGCATGAATTTATTTCAAAATAAGATCTTTGCCTTGGAACGTGGCGTCCTCAAGCCAGAGCTGAGTCCCAGGGAAGGGAGGGTTGAGGCAACAAACTTTTTGAATCTAAAACTCCAGGCAGGAAGCAGGAATGCCAGGGCAGAGAGGAGAAAAGGGGAAGGTGATACAGAAAGCAGGGCTGACTTGCCTCTAAGCCAAGAGCCTATTGAGCCTTTCAGGCCAGACACTGAATATGCAACTGCCTCCCAGAGCCACATTCCACACGGCTGAGGACTGGCCAGATGCAGAGACTCTTAAGGATGCACAGAAGCAAGAACCTCACCAGTGCTGCCGCTCTCCTTGCCCATGCTTCATCTGCTGCTTGATTCTGTCTGTTTGAGGGCCAGATCTGAACCCCCTCCATTAATCTGGGTTTGGGTCAGGCTCCTGATAAGGTCCTGGAAGGGAGAGCTCCTCTGCTTCTTGGTTGCGTAATGGGCTGTGGGCCTATGGGGCCCCATGTCGGCAACACTCATCTCAATCCTCTCTAACAGAACGGGATAAGGAGCAGCTTCTGGAGCCCACTTGCAGGGATGGTTCCTTTCTAGACAGGGACATGGACAACAAGATGGAGAAAACAAAGTGCATGGCCCTAGTGCCTTGGAGATGCCAGATCCTCTACCTCTTAGGGTAATGTTATTTCTGCTGGCCTAATGGAAATCTTGATAGATTATAGATGGAAATCCCAGCTGTTCCATACAGAGAGGGTAAACTTCCACGCTAGAGATGGAAACGTTATTTTTCTTAACCACAATGATTATTTTATGAACACGCCAGTCCCTTCTTAGCTTTCTACCCTTCCTGACCAATTGCCCTCCCCAGTAACAAAATACTGTTGATGATAATGCTCTGCTTTTCTAGAGCACCTTCCCTTCAAGGATCTCTGTCGCACTTAGAAACATTGGTGAACTGCTTCTCACAACTGGCAAGGTGAAGCACTTATTCCCATTTTACAGGTGGGAAAACTAAACACTTTTGAGTGCAAGTGCCCACAGCTACACATATACTTGGATGCCTTTGCCTGGATTTAGGTGGCATGCTCTTTTGAAAAATGAATTCCTGTAGCTCCCTCTGATCTCACTGGAGTCATGGGTACACAGGGTCTCTGAAAGTCAGAACACTTAGTGAGATATATAGGGATGCTAATTTAGAGGCAATATCTTTTTAAGAGTGGCTAGTGATTTTTATGTGCTAAATGAGACACCTTTATGGGGCCTGGTTTTCAGCTGGAGAGGGTGTTTAACACAGTCAAAGCAAACACGCTGCTTTGAAGTGTCTCAACTTGGGCACCAAAAATCATTTGTTGTGCTGGGAAATACAGGTTTTAGGCAGCTGCTGTTAAGGCAGCAGAGTTTGAATAGTTTGGGTGAGTTTCTTAAGAATTAACAAGCAAGTTAGTGGAAAAGTCAGGACCAGAATTCCTCGGCCTCAATTCCAGCGGGAGTGGTGGTGGTAGGATCTCTGCAAGAGAGGCCAATACATCTCTTGACTTGGAGCACTTCATTTAAAGACCGTTAAAGAGCCTTGAGGCACCTTAATCTACTTGAAGACCCTTTAACCATAACAATTTGTTTTCTTTTTTCTCAGTAGGCCCCACTTGGCTAGTCCTGGTGACTGCCCACTTCAACCAATCACAAAACTACTGACTCCTTCCAAGTCCATCCTTCAGCTTCTTCCACCTATCAGGAAATATTTCTGATGTATCCAAAACACCTCCAGCCTTCTCAGTCCCCGCTTCTCTGCAGACGGCAGGACGGAGTACATCTTTTCAATCTTTTCTGACATTATGTATTTTTAAAGAGTCATTTTAAACTAAAACTATGCATGACCATGCTAAGACAAGCTAACCTAGATCCTGCCAGTAAAGCACAGTCATCTGCCCACAGACAATGATGTAACCAGTGGCCCTGATTGCCCCCATCTCTCCTTCCAGTGGGGTGGACACAAATGGAAAGACACAAGGGTTTCTCCCTGTCTCTGCCAGCAGGAAATTCTCCCTGTCTCTGCCAGCTGTTGGAGAGGAGGTATAGATTGAACATCCGCAAAAACTACTTCACCGTTAGGGCGGCTAGGAGCTGGAACCAACTTCCAAGGGAAGTGGTGCTGGCCCCTACCCTGGGGGTCTTTAAGAAGAGGCTGGATGCCCACCTAGCTGGACTCGTTTGAGTCCCATTTCTCTTTTTGGGGTTTTTGTTGTTCTCCCGCCCTGGCGGGGGGTCGGGCTAGAAGATCTACTAGGTCCCTTCCGACCCTTAATCTATGAATCTATGAAATCCTATCTCAACTCTTGCAGACAGAATCCTCCTCCCACCTGAGGAGTCGATCCCTGCGGGTCAGGGCTGAGGACCATAGGGAAAGCCATGTCCAAGAGTCCATGGATGCAGAGAGGGAGCTTCCCTGTCGTTCCAAAAGGAGGCACTCTCTCTCTCTGGGTCAGGCCTGACGTCTGTTAGTGGAATAATGTTGGGGAACCCCCAACACTAAAATAGTTTGGAGGCTCGATTCACTTCTTGCCCCTCCCAAGCAAGAGGCAAGGTATGCATTACGTTGCCCTGTATTTAGGGAGTGACCTGGCTCTACCTTCCTCCTCCTTTGCCTCCCCCAAACCCAGAGAACCCAGTGAGAGGCAGAAAGATGACTGTGGTTTATCGTCCTGGATTTTACAGCACCACAGTTTCAACTTAACTGCATTTTTTATCCTAAAGATTTATATAAATATATATATATATTTATTCCTCTGTAACTGAGTGTAAATGACCTTTAAGGGGATAAAAAACACCTCCTCTTACTTCTATATAGAAAAAAATGTATATTTTCTTATGTACATCTTCTGTATAAAGCTCTTGCTGCAAAGATGAATTCAGCTGCTCTCCATGTGTCTTCTTGAGATTTATTCCAGAAATGGTTTAAGGGTTCAAACACCCAAATGAACGCAGGACTTAACTCCTCTTATCCTACAAGCCAAGAGAGGTCAAAGACAATTTGGAAAGAAGGGTTTTATTATTATCCCTGTTGTGGTACAGAGATAACTGAGTCACTCGCAGAATAGTGGCCAACTGGTGATAATGGCTGAATACATGTGCGGGGCTCAGCTCAGGCTTGCTATAAAATCAGCAGCTGCTACCTGATAGCAATTCATGGAGTTATGCCAAGGCACAAGGTTCGAAGCTGAGTCCTAACAGCTTCACGGGAAAAAACCAAGGCTCTCCCTTAAGGCACCACCCCATTCCAGCCTGCTGCCCTATGATCCCAATCCCTAGGCGCCATTCAGTTCAGAGCATACACCCATCCCTATAAAACTGCTGGTACCGGTGAGTTCTGCTGGCACTGCCAGCAATAACAGGAGAAATCTGACTCCCGACCCCACGTGTTTTCCCGTCACCACAACCCGTTTCCTCAGCCTTCACAAGAAGCCTGGCACAGAGGTAGAATAACTGCTTTTCAAGTAAAACAAAATAGACTCCCTCACCCATCTGAGTTATCCCAAATGAGTTTCTCCAAAGAAGATGGAATAGGATTTTGGGGCATCCTCTGGAGCTGACTAACCAGGATGAGACAGTGCCCCGCTCACCCAAAGAAGCTGCAAAATCAATCAGTTAAACTCCTAGGGACTCCCTGAATGTGGATAGCTTCACTGGGTGTTCATGGCCAGGGGTGTGGGTGCACATGGGTGTTTACTGATGGAGAAGCCTGCCTTTCGGGTATGTATACAAAGGGGCAGCTGGATCCGACTGCCCTGATGGTTCAGAGTGTGACTATTTATCAGGCTAGAGACCGAATGAGTGCAATCCAAGAAGCAACAGGACAAACAAGCATACACATACACGTTTGAGTCAGCAAGGCCTCGTCCACAGCGCTTATCCTTGAAGCATGTAAAACAGGGAAACAGAACAGTTTACTACCACTCAGAAACAAAAAAAGGAATCTCAGGGTGCAAGACAAGTCTTGCCCCCTGCATATAAAGCTCCCCCCTTTTCACCAGCCTTACCCCCCAAGCCTCTTATCATTTAGCAAGTAGCTGAGTCTATACAGCTTCCCATATTCCTCCCCAGCCTGCCTAGACCTTCAATCATCCCCAGCCCAACCTTGTACCCCCTGCACAAGACTGGAAACCCATGGGCCCTCTGCCCCTGATCACATGCAGCTGTGTTAGTTCAAGGAGGTTTTGGTCCACTACTATGTTGACTTGTACTTGTTCAACATCCCACTCAAGGGAAGGATGCCAGTGACCCACAGTCTGACTCACCACAATTTCTTTCATGTTCATCTTGGTTATAATCTTCCTCATGACCTCGGGAGGCACTGGGGACCCGGCGATCGTTCCTGAAAGGAGGGCGGGGGGAAAGATGACTGCCTTGGAGACTCTTCTTGCCCAGACCACCTCACTCAAAGGGTTTTCCATCTCAGTGCACCGAGGTGCACCAGTTCCTGCTCACAAGGTTTAGCACTTCCACGAACATGGATACTAATTCATTTAGAAGCAGAGCCCCAGCATGACACTAAGAGCTGGGCATTTGCTTGGAGAAGCTGAGGAGGTAATACAGTTTATATGGTAGGACAAAGATGCTCCAATTACAGCCTATGGAGCAACGTTATCTGACCCATGGGTCAGCTGTGGCAATTACCACTGACACTACTCCCCCACTGCCAAAATCCTAGACATGTGAGGAGCCTTGGTGGCATACCTGGGGGGAGGAGGTGAGTGCCCTGCCTTGCTATGCCTCTGGGGAGCCCCATGGGCTAGACGACATAGCCCCAAGTGCTGGATTGGGCCACAGACCCGCTCTGCACACTAGTTCAATCTGGCCTGTGGAACAGCTGCACCCACTCCCCGGGCCCCTGGGGCCAGAAAGGTTGGACACCACTGTTTTAGGAAAGAAAAGAAAAGATTTCAGCACAAGTTCACACAAAGCCGAAGCTTTGTAAATAGAAAGTATAAGTCCAGGAACACACACTCCTTGCAGGGGAACACTTCCAGATACTGCCCCACCCCTGTCAAGGAGTTTTTATCCTAACCTTGTCCCTCTCCAGTGGGAGAGGAAAGGTGACTCTTACCAGTTGAAATAGCTCTAATCAAGGCTGGAGTGCAACCTTCATGCTCAAGCTCATGGGACAAGATGAACTGTCTGTGTATTTAATGGACTTGGAGAAACAGGCCCACTCTCAGCTAACAGCCCGGTCCATGTCCTTGTAATGCAGACGTCACCAGAGTCTCCGGGTACAACTGTTACCCACAAAGGGCAGGCACTCTCCACAGAGATTTGGGTTGCTTTTTTATACAACAGAAAAAGGAAACTCTGGAGTACTGCACATTTTCTGTGGTTTTAAACAGGCATGAAAATATAGCTCTGGTAAATTGAATAAATTCACTGCCCATCACACAACTGCTCTTTTTGTCTTAAGGAACGTATACCGAGTACAGTATGCCAGGCATGTACTGCCACATGTTGGTGGATACTGGTATGGAAGTCAATGGGCCTGCTCCCAGCATACAGCGTCCACTTGCTGTTTCCAGCAGACAAAACAGCTGGGTACCTCTTTCAACCTGTCGGGAAACTGCTCTGAGGAAAGGAGAAAGGGTGCTAGAAATACAGAAATCATAAGGAAAGCTCTAATGTCAGGCCTCAAATTTAACAGTGAAATAAAAAGAACAAGCAATGTGAATCTTTCCTCCTCAACAGCAGTTTTCCTGGACACCTCAGCTAATAACCAGGGATCACGGTTTCTCTGGCCAACACCCCCCCCTCCAATTTTTGGATTAAAAAACGTCACTCAAAATCCACATTTTTTCCATAATTAAAATGAAACACCACTATAGTGACTAAAATGAAATCATTTTTCCACGATTAAAGTGAAACACCACTAAAGTGTGTTTCACTTTAATCATGGAAAAGTATGGATTTTGTGTTACTTTTTTAATTTGAAAATTGGGGATTTTTTTTTTTTTTAATCCAGAGAAAACCAGGATCTCTGCTGATGACTGTCCAGCATCCTTCTTAGAGGAGCTTCAGCATGGGTTTTGCTGTTGCCATTTGGGGATTATTTTTTTTTTAATCAGAGAAAACCAGGAGCCCTCTTAATGACTGTCCAGCTTCCTTCTTAGAGGAGATTCAGCATGGGTTTTGCTATTGCCATTTGAGCACCTATACTTACCCCCCCGGAGTGTCGAAAGGTCGTAGCTGTCGAAGTCGGGCTGGGCAAGCATATCTATAAACATGGTTGGAGTGCCATATAAATAGGAGCACCTTCAAAGGAGGGGAGAGAAAAAACAAAGCTGCTGTTACAGCCCGCCGCAGTATGGACCCAGCACCCTGCTCCCCACCACCCCTGCGTGAAGCTTTGGAGAGTAGTGCAAACTTGGGGTTATTGGATTAATGACTTGATTTTATATTTAGGCAGCAGCAGTGCTTCCACTTTACAACTACCCAGGAGTAGCACCCTTGAAATGCAGCCATTTCTGGGGTGCAGCAAGGCCTAGAGAGAAAGGGCAGCTGGTTATGCACAAAGACCCAATCCCACTCACTAATTGCACGGCAGCGGCACACCTTCCAGCCAAGTCAGCTGGGACCAGGGGAATCACTGTATGCTTGTGACTGAGACAGAGATGTCATAAACCTGAGTGCAGCTGAGACAGGACTCAGGGAAGACAGAGAAGGAGAAAACGTGACTCAGCAAGAGTCAAGGGGAGCGGGGAAGAGAAAGGCCAGGAGCTGGGGCTGCCTGCCAGCAAAGGTGACGCAACAGGCAAAGGCTGTGGAGCTGCCTTGTAGCTAGAACACACAAACGGGTTCTCACTTCTCTCGAGTCACCGCCTCCAGCGCTGCTTTCCCCTCAAAACTGGGAGATGAGAAGACGGCAGTGGGGCCATGCACAGCCATCACCATGGACCCTGCAACCGACCCCAGGCAGTGGTAGAGCGGGACAGGGAGGACAAGTCGGGAGTTCTGGGATCAAGCCAAACAAAGCAGTGAGGAGATAAGACCTGCTCAGGGTCTGAATCATCTTGCATTAAGGAGCACATGGGCACCTCTCTCTAAACCACACATCTCTAGAGCTGGCTGAAGCATGGCCTTTCCATGCCTCTGCAAATGTCTGGAACAGACTGCAGAAAACCTTGGTTATTTGGGGGGTTTATTGCTTTACAATTATTTTTACATTATTTCATGACATGCCAGTAACAGCAGAGTAACAACTACAAATGCCCTAGCAGAATATAATAGAAAACCCCAACTATGGCACGGATCTTTTTATTTTTTAAATAATTTAGGGCAGCAAATACTGACTGAAGCTTCACCTCTTCTTTTCCCAGATCCAAGTCTTCCCCATTTGTGAGATTACAATCAACCATGCTGTTATACTACAATGTCAGAAGTAAGCATGTCTAAGGTGAGATGAAATAACAGCAAAGTAAATGGAAAGATCTCATTAAATAAACTTTGAAGTAAAATTGCAAAAAAAATTCCCTAATTTTCTGAAACTAAAATGGTCCAAAAATGAAACCAACCAACCAACCAAAAATCCAACATATTCAAGTATTTTTCCAAAAGAGAATATATTTAAATAGTCATTTTTTTCCAAACGTATTAACTTGGGGGTGGGGGATACATTCCAAGGAAACTTTCAGAATCAGCTCTACTGCAACAGCCATTCTCATCCAGGGTGCTATAGCATCCCAGGGTGCTGTGAGATCCTTTTTAGGGTGTTGCAAGATGCACAAACATTTACATATGGTTCACAAGATAAACCTAGAAATTTCAAATAGGAATCCAGTGTCAAAAGCACTCTGACCTGCAGTGCTCTGAGCTCTCTGCAGTAGAAGGAAAGCCCTATTATTTTTCCTGTGATCACGAAAGGAGTGAAAGCTAAAAGCTGGCATTTTCCAAAGGGCGTCTTGACTCTAACGAGGGTTTCTTTGGGTCTAACAAGGTTGAGAATCACTGATCTACAGGATACGAGTGCAAGAGATTGGTGCCAGATCTAATGAGCTGAGGACTGCTACCTGAAGACTGAATGGCTAAGGTGCATTAAGCCCAGTTTTGTGAAGGTGCTTCCTGCTGCCATCCAAAAGGCATACCCCTCCTCCATCCTCAGTGATTGGGGTTCCCCTTAAAGCATTCTCTCACCATCCCTAACCCCCAACTTAGAGCGAAAGACCCCCTTTTGCTGGTCAGAGATCTACCTTCTCCGTGAGTTCAGTCCCACTTTGGCACAAGCAGCACCCATCCCCAACCTATGCATCCATCCAGGAGACTCACCGATTTAGAGACTCCTAGTCTCATTCCGATCAGGTTTGCATTATTCACAATGTTGTAATGGGAGAGAGTGGCCCCTTTAGGGCTTCCTGTTGTACCCTGGGAGACAGAGAGCATTATGAGATTCTTTCTACCACTCTTTCAGGGTGCGAGGTGAAAAGTTTCCTTGTGGGGATGCCCCAACTTGGAGATTTTTACAGCGATCTGGCCCTTTATTCTCCATCCAGACATGGTGGTATCTGAATGGAAAGCACCACAGTTGTAAAGTGCAAACAAAATACGTTAACTATAGCAGAGATCAGAGTGTAATGATTTAGCTGATAAGCTTTGCTGTCAACCCCTAAGAAGTACTGAGCTATGGGACTGGAAAAGGAAAGGGGAAAATCTTAAATTATCTTCTCAATCTTACTCCGAAGGGGTGAAGAACAGCGTTCACCCTCTGTGCTTAGCATGCCCACATCGGGTCTGGTGCCATTCACAAGGACCAGGGTGTTGGGTGCCAGCTGCAGGGCAGAGCAGTGCGAGGCACCTACCGAAGTGAACTGGATGTTGATGGGCTCATTATAGGACAGAGTCTGCTGAATGTCTCTCAGCTGCTTCATATGGCTGCTTTCCGCAGCCTGCATCATTTCGCTCATCTGGAATGTGCCTGGCAGCTTGGAGTCCAAGGTGATGACAACTGATAGATCAGGGAGCCTGGCACAAATAAAAACAGGCAGAAGAATGGATTGTTTGATATCTGTGGGTTATCAAAGGTACACTCCTAGGAAGGACCTTACCATCTCTCTTGGCACAGGATGAAGTTTGCTAAGAGGGTCAGAGGGGATAGTGAGATAACCCTTCTATTTAGCAAGTCTGGAATGCATATTATATAAGACAAGCTGTGTGTGACAAAACTGGGATCCCATATCCATGGCTGAGCTCAGTCTAAATGAGAGTTCGCTCTATTTCATGGGGAAGAAATTGTATGATTGGTGGCTGACTTCAAAGTGGATAAAAGAAAGGGGACCAATATTATCAGCCAGTGGTCTGGGGTCTATTTGGTGTTCAGATAGCTCAGTGATGGATGTCACAGAGTACTAAATTCTACAGACAGAATTTGCTTGGGACCTTTTCCCCTTGGGATTATTCAGTAGCTCCATCACTGTGCAGGGATGAGGACATAAAGCAGAGCATGGCTGTGGGGCTGCCGAGAGGATTTCTGGTGCATCTTACTTACATTTTGCTCTTTATTCCTCCTGGACTGGATTTCTCTAGCTCAGGACAAGCTTGCTTCAGGATCTCATAGTATTTCTGTGATTTAAACTGAGTGGGAAATACCAAAGCCTTGCAGCCAACCTGCAGGGGGAAAGGGAGAGAGAACGAGAGACTCCATCAAAAGTCAGGCTAAGCTAAAACTCATATTATCCAAGAAATAATGAGTAGGCTCCGGCACTGGAGAGGGCACAGCACTGGCAGCCACTGCTGATGGAAAACCTCATGGCCACAGAGAAACTAAATGCAAGAAGCTAGGTCCTTAATATGATGACACATGGATTTTCTTCAAGGCTGGCTGGTCTACAAGCAAGTGTATGTTACAAAGACCTCATCTTTAATGAGCTTTAACACTGTGCTGGCATCGACCTACCAGGAGCTGTGCTGTAAAGTGGCTTAGAAAGTCACCAGACAGGAAAATAACTGGTTCTTGCAGAGAGAAAGGGAAGCAGCACTACCCCTCCCGTGGGAGGGAGCCCCTGCACCATGCTGGACGACATACAGTGGGATCAATTTTTTTTGTGGCTCGTCAGAGCAGCAGCCCTGAGACCCAAGGCATGAGCTCACTTGCAATGAGATTTAATATGATCTTTGGTGTAGGCAGATGCAACTCCATGGACTTTAGTAGAACAACACCCACTTATGTTGGCCTAGGATGTGTAACCACTACATTATACATAGAATCATAGGAATGTAGGGCTGGAAGGAACCTCGCAAGGCTGTCTACTCCAGCCCCCAAGATCCTCCCTGACTAAACCATCCCAGAGAAGTGTCTGCTCAACCTGCTTTTGAAAGTTTCCAAGCATGGAGAATCCACAGCTTCTCTAGGTGCCTGTTCCAGTGCTGGACCACTCTTCATTGTCAAGCAATTCCTCCTAATCTCCAACCTAAATTTCTCCTGGTGCAGCTTGAGGCCATTGCCCCTAGTCCTGTCCTCTGCAGCCACAGAGCAAAGCCCACCTCCATCCTCTCTGTAATCACCCTGCAGGCATTTGAAGACTGTTATCAAATCCCTCCTCAGTCTTCTCTTCACCAGACTAAATCACCCTTGTTCTTTCAACCTGTGCTGACAAGTTTTGCCTCCCACGCCCCTAATCATGTTTGTAGCCCTGTGCCGGACACTTTCCAAACTGACCACATCGTTTTTGAAGTGTGGGGTCCAAAACAGAGCACAGTGAGGAGGTCTCACCAGTGCTGAAGACAGCAGAAGAATTACTACCCTTGATTTGCAAGTGACACTCCTGCTAATACAACCCAGGAATGGAAGACGGAGCTTCCATTTCCAAAACTCCTGCTGGCACTCAAGGTGACAGTGATATGGAAGGAGCCCAGGCCAGGGTTGAAACCAGCTTTAATACTGAGTTGATCAGTGTGAAAAAGAGAGCAGCTTGATTTTCCTAGCACGTCCACTGATTTTATTCACTCGTTCCAGCAGCACTACTCTCAAAAGAGGTGAATCAAGCTCTGGGACTTGCACTGTCGAAGCCTGGCGCATAAGCCAGAATGCACCTGCATAGCTGCATCTGCACGCTCCATGGCTTTACCCAGCAGACACCTAATTTGCATGTGCAGCTGTGGGTTTCCAGGCCTGGAGCATTTTGCTGAACTCTTGCAGTTTCCTTTTTGTTAGCAAGACAGCAGAACAGATTCTGTGCTGCTGACTGATACCAGGCTGCTGCCTCTGTCACTAGAGCAGCGTGAATTGCTGACTTGATTGGTGTTTTTGTCCATTTGGTCAATCAACTGGAAAAAGAACCATTTAAATGTTTTCAGTTCGGGACAACACAAAATTAAGAACAAAAAATAAGTTCTCTCAGCAAAACGTAGAAACCCAAATATTTCATTTTGGGGTCAAACAAACTTGCTTTTGTTTTCAGGTTTCCTAAGCTTTTGGAGCCCCTTAAACATGTTGACTCTTTTTTTCAAAATTAAAATATTTTTTCTAAATGGCAAACTACATTTCACTTTGATACAACTGGAACAAAACAATTACAGCGATGAAAATGAGAGCAGCATCTGACCCGCAGAGGCTGAGATAAAAACAAAAGGCACATCTGCAGGGGAGGAAAAAGAAGTTGCTACTGTTCCTCCAAAGCTGATCAGAAATGAAATCTTAGCTTGAGCTAGATCAGGACCTAAAACATAAGCAAGAAAGGCAGGAGCATCATGAGAGCTGTCTGATGCCAGTAAAGCGAGGTCTCAGACCCAAGATCTAGGGATAGCAGAGCACCCCCTCCACCTTTAATTTAGCTCTACATGCAGATGCCCTATCTGATCCTTCTTCTTCATGTATGGACTAAAGAGACTTCAAGGAAGGAAAAACCTAACAGAAAATGGCTAAATCTGGGAAAATGGAAGCCAGGTTGTGAGAGGAACGTAAATGGTTTATATGGAGGATGATTTGGGGAGATCAGGTTGGAGCACTGCTGTGGGAGAAGGTCCTTTTTTGGCTGCCCCCAAATACCCCACTTCCACGTGCTCATGGCATGGGGGCAGCTGGTGGTGGCACGTTGGCTGTGTTTTCTTGTACTAATCCTTTTGATTGCAAAGCCAAACAAGCCAGACCAGTGCAGGGAGCTCTGTAAGCCTGGATGGATTAATTTGATCCAAAATGAAGGTTGAATAGACTTAATCCTTTGTTACCAGGGATAAGAAATTGGATCAGCTTAGTCACCCCTGGTTATCCTGGGGGTGTTACAGACAGCCTGGGAAACAGTCCAAAGCAGCTCTGAAAAGAAGGCAGGCATGAGGGCAGCCTAACCATGGCCACAACGAGCGGATGGAGTAAAACACAAAACAGATTCAAATGGAACTAAAGGTGGCTATAGAAGAAACACCACATGGAGCAATTCCTCAGGACTATGGAGGCTGACACTAAAGAGGCTTTTCTCCTCTCTAGTGTCATTCTGACCCCACTGAAGCCAATGGGAGTTTTGCCATTGTGATCCTCACTGATGTTGCCCTTCCAACTGAGCTTTCCGCTCAGCAAGCCTCCCAAAAGGGAAGCTCACTGCTGTGTCCTTACTAAAAGAGGCTTCCAAAGAAGCGCAAGGTTATTGCTTTTCTAGTTAGGAAACCTCAAGGGAAGAGTCAGCGGTTGAAGCCTGCTGCTCCTACTCCCCCAGCAGATCAAGAGGACCTGTTGCGGTTGGATCATGAGGCTTGGCTGTCGTTGCATTGACTTGAGGAAGAGCATTGCTTCATCAGGCTTGCTAACCACACACCTGTTCAGGGAGTGGGTTTGTTGCCCTTAATGCTTTGCAGTCCGAGAGGACTGCTTCTCAGACAAAAGCAGCTCTGCAACAAACCCTTCGTGCCTGCATGGGTTTTCTTCAGCATCTAGTGCAAAAATGACCATTGGCAGAGAGAGAGGGCTCCAAGGCAGGCAGGCGGAGGTGGGAAGGTAACCACAGGGAACAACAATAATTGAACGAAGGGAATTCATTCCAACTATTCACATTCTGCATGCCCAACCACTGCACAACAGCACTCCCTTCATCCACCCCCCAGCCCTGTTCACGCAGATCGCCCTCTTAGCAGCCTTTCTTCCCACTGCTTGAATTCCCCAAGTACCGTAATCAGAAGTTTGTTTCCTAGTGCTGTTCCCATGGTTACCCTCAGCCTTTGACACACTTCCATTTCAAAAGTAAGTGGCATTAGTTGCAAGAGGTCCACAGTACCTTTCTGATCACAAACTCCAGCTCCTGGGCCTGATAGGCTGGATTCACAGACACCTACACAGAGGAAGAGATGAGAGAATTAATCTAAGCTCTGAAGATGCCTTCAGACTCCACCTTTAGACCACATGCTCCAAGAGAAAAGAGGAGAAGACACAGCTTCTTTCATGTATTTGAAAACCAAGTCTAGGAGATGCTCATTCCGAAGATTTCAGGGTAACATGGGAAGACAACTAACTGATCTTTATTTTTACAGTGTTACAGAGGCCCAAAAGCTAAGTGATACAGCATCATACAGATATGGCCAAGTCAGGGGTAGAAACCAAGCTTCCTGACTCCCAGGCATTTGCCCAGTCCACTAAATTATGGTGATCCCAAATTCTAGGGGCAATTAAGACTCCTTACTGGACAACAAATAGGATGGAAACATCACACAGTTTATGACTCTCTCTAAATGCAGCCTGGCCACCAGAACTGAGTTGAGCTATCAGATTCATACATTTGGCAGTCAGCCAGTTGAGCCCACTGACTCACTCTACCCCATATTATATCTTTTGAATGATATCAGCATGGCTGATGCTGTACAAAACTTCCTGGATGACAGAGTCCATCAAGCCCTTGTCCCAAGGAGATCATTGTCTAAATAAGACAAACCATATGTTAAAGCAGCAAGTGATACCATCATGTGATGGCTGAATCTCAATGGGGGCAGACAGCATAGTTACATATATTTAGAGTGGTCCCTTTCTCTAGGGACACAGAATGAATTCAGGATGGATTTGAATAGCAAGTGCTTGGCTGGGTCACCAGGGCTGTATCTAAGGATGTTTCCAGCTTTTTCATGCCACCATTAATTGTAAGGTACATCATGGGTGAGCTAGTGTCTCATTAGCTTGGCATCCTGAGTTACCCAGGAAAACAGGGTGAGGATAACAGCTGTATGGACTTTGTTGAGACTGTGACTTCAGCTCCTTCGATGCATTATTTTATTTAAGTTATTCAAATCCCTGTGCTCCTGGTTTCACCCCCATCTCCCCTCTTTGCTCTAAGTGAAAAGTACAGGTAGCTCAAGATGAAAGACAATCTCCTTACCAGGATGATTCCTGCCTGAGCAGTTGCAAACTGCATTAGGACCCACTCATACATGTTGGGGCCCCACATTCCCAGTCGGTCACCCTTCTTGAGGCCAAGAGCCAGAAGCCCAGCTGATGCCTGGTCCACCTACAAAAAATGAAAAAAGCAATGTATTCCACAGTCAGATAGGGAAAAAGCCCCATTACGGTGGGGTGCTCACAGTCCACATCAATATTAAATCCTTTGAGCATAATGTCATTTTAGCAGCCATTTTAAGAAACTGAGACTGCACATGCTGCAGCACTCCTGTACAGACTGTCAGTTTATTACTTAATTACTATCATATTACTATAAATGATGCATATGCAGAAATCAAACTGCCTCCACTCACAGGTGATGGAACGCATGAAAGCAGCAAATTCGAAGCATGTGTACAAAGGGAGGTAGGATCTGCTATAAACAAACACCTATGGGTGAAATTACAGACAAGGCCTGTAAAACACTTCATTCCTCTTCAGCCCCTGAAACTATGACTTCAATAGTCCAAAGCACATAGTGGGCCCACTTAGAGGGGTGGACTCAAACCATACATGAATTACTGCTTGCTCCTGAAAAGACTCAGATGATGAAAACAATTTAACTTGATTTCCAACCCTGCCAACTTGCGTCAGGGCCCAGTTGTTATATTCAAATTACCATTTTATTTTGCATCATTATAAACATATTTCAGATTGGGTTGGACATACACAGCCCAGTATCTTCAGGGGCCTCCCTGACACTTTTTGATTTTAAATGACTGGGATTTCGATTTGGCAGCTATTTGTGAGATCTCTTTGTCCTCTTCTCAGTTTAAGAAACAGGAAGTGGCCATGCAAGTAAATACAGGGTTTCCATTCTTTTTTCAGCAGAGCTCACAATTTTTTTCTCTCTGCGGTTTAACAACCATCTAGCCAATCTACACAACACAATATATGAATGCCTTGGGTCCAGTTGCTCATATTCATACATCAAACCAGAGATCACATTGCAAACATGGTGGAAATTTGCTGTCCAATTACCCGTGGAGTATTGTTCATTTATCCAAAGTACCCATTTGTGTCACTTACTATAGCTGGAGTTAAGTCCTGCACTCTTCATTCAGCAAAACTCTCACTCTTTCCAATGAGATTTTTACTTGCATAAAGATTGAGAAGTTCCAGAGGCTGCGGGCTGCTGAAATGGCTGTCTAGACTGCAAATTTACCCTGCCCACCAGCAACCCCCTCAAACACGTGTGCATGGTCTCCCAGTTGGAAGCCATGTGGCGGGGTCTGTGGAGCAGTGGGAATGGTGATTTAGCAATGCTGAAAGGCAGAGTCAATTGGCCTGTCCTTGCTGCTTTGCAGCTGTGGCTATGCTGCATCCAGCCCAGCTTGGGGAGCTGTGCAGTGTATTTGACAGGGTGCTGCTGAGTGCCACAAGTCTGCAACGTGGACCTGTAGAACAATATTAGATCAGACCCCAATGAAAAACCCTTCAGGTTTGGACCCATAATAATATCAGAGAGGGGGAAACATTTTGTAGGAGCAGCAGTTTGTTCTGGAAAGTGCTTCATGTATAACATATGCTTCTGGCATGGCTTGCCTCCTCCCTTTGACTTCATTCCTTACAGTGCAGGTAGATAGGATGAACACGGCAAACACCTTGTCAGGTGATGAGGCAATACGTAGGGTTTTCTATCTATTCAGGACCGGGCTGAAGATCCAGAAAAAACAAGCCCAACTCCCCCGTCCTGCTCAGCCCCACGATTAAACAGCTTTCTGATTGTCTGAGCCTGCTTTCCTGCCAGCACCCTACGACTCCCCACAGTCATGGGGGGATGAGTTACAGGACTGAAGTTTGTAGCACACCAACTGCTTACATCCTGTTTGAACTGGGCAAAGGTCTTCCGAACCCCGTCTCGGCAAAACACCACGGCTTCGCGATCTGGAAATCGGTGGACTGCCTCCTCCAGGCACTGATCCACAGTTTTGGTGAGAAGTGGAATGTTTAACATCCCACGGACGTAGCTGTTGGCTGCTGCAGGCTTGGGAAGGGGTGCGTGTGTGTGCAGAGCACTGTAAAAGAAGAGACAAGGGTGAAGAGTGGCCGAGAGACAGGCAGAGGGACGTGGACAGGGTCTTCCTTGCTGTACCTGACAGGTTCCTACACTGCCCCCCCTTTGAGACCATCTTCTATCCTGGTTGCCTTCACCGCACTATAACGTAAGATCCAAAGGACTTACAACCCCTGAGATTCTTGGTCCCAACAGGTCAGAGGTCCAGTTATAAGAGAAGGTTATCGGATATAATCCAGATGCGTTATGAGAACGCCTCCATACCATAATATCCTACCTGTGCTAAGTAGCAGGCTCCTATTACCATAAATCCTATTATTACCCATAACATAATCAAAGTCATAACCAAACTTGGTTCCCCCTCCAACCATCCAAGAAATTGTAGGGTTCTTCATTTTTTCTCTCTCCTCTCTTCCCTGCATTTGTATTTCCCCTTTCCTTTTTTTTTTTGTTTTCTCACTCCTTCCTTTCATGTGGCCACTGGAAGTGCACTGCCTACCCTAGTTTGAGAAATCCCAATTTGAGTTAAGTTTCCAATCTTTACTGGAGAAAACTGGAAGCCATGACACGGACAGTCTGAGAAGCCATTTCAAACAAGGCTTCACGGTCAGGTGGCCAGGGTACTCAGCAAAAACAAAGCCTAGATGCAAGGGATTTTCCTCAAAACAGAAAAAGTCACATCCTCAGCTCATATGAGGGGGTTAACATTAGTAGAGGAATGCTGATTTGCATCAGCTGAGTTTGTGTTTATAACCAGAAATCAAGCCAAGTTAACATAGGCTAGCACACTGATTCTCAACCAGGGTGCCTTGAGATCCTTTCAAGGGTGCTACAGGGCCCCACACAGTGTTTGCACTGGTACATTTCCAATAAATGATTCACAAGATAAACCCAGACACTGAAAATAGAAATCCATAGTTATGGTCCAACACCTCCGCAAAAAAACTGCTCTAAGCTTTTCTGTTGGCAAAAAAGAGTGAAAACTAACGGCTGGCATTTCCCAAGGAGTACCTTGAGTCTATCCAGAGGTGCCTGGAGCCTATCTAGGGGTGCTTGAGTCTAAAAAGGTTGAAAACCACTGGGCTAGCAGCCAGGGGACTGCTACAATGCTGTAAAGGGCAACCCGCTATTCTCCACTCTGGGCCTCTCAAGAAGCCAAACTACAGAGGAAGAGGGACTGTTTAGTAAAGAAGAGGCAGTGTCTCCGGAGCCTGCCACAATGACGCTCTAAAGACCAGATGCGTGCTCTACAGCTGAACAGAGCACGAGTGCCCAAATCAACCGGAGCGAGGGGAATACGCTTAATACTTACGCTGGACAGGTCCTTGCCCCTCCCCAACCTCTTGCAAGCAAACATCAGGATGAGCACTGTACTTTCTAGGCTACAACACATGCTTAGATATTAGTTACTGAGGCTATGAAGGCACCTGGGATAGATGCCCTTGTTTGCTGTAACATGGGCCTCCATGAGACAAGGCAGCCTTCCCTCTAGCAAACACCATGGATCAGCTGTCTTCCCAAGCCGTGAGTGCTGCTCCTCTGGCCAGAAACAGCCACTGGTTTCATGTCTCCACCAGTTTTAGCCACATCCGAGTTGTGCAATTTGCTAAGTGAAATTCAGGCCCTTCATGTCTAAAGATGGGTCTTTAGACATGAAGGGCCTGAATCTCAGAGTTAGCAAATTGTCCAACTCTGATGGAAGTCAATGGGAAATGCTTAGCAGCTCTGGAAAGCAGACCTTGGGCAGCTCAAGTAGGAAGAAATCAGAGGCCATTTTTGAAGATACATGCAGAAGCATAGGAGGGCCTCCATGGCCGTCTTTAATCCCATCCAAGCCCTACGGGTGCATCCGCTTCCTGCAAGAGGACACGTGCCCTGCAGTGCCAGCAACACCGACACAGTCCCAGCTCTTCTTGCTTGGCCTGAAAGGCAGAGCACTGCGCAGTGTACTGCATGAGTCTGAATGGCCCCAGTGCTGCAGGTATTTTATCTGATGAAAAACCGACATTGAAAACAGTGCTCTATGCTCAGGGCACCTAATGATCCCTGTTGGTTCCTGTGCGAAGCAGAGAGATTCCAATCCTGAATAATGTGGATCATACAAAAGGCAGAAATCACCCAGAAGACATTGAATCAAAGCCACGAGTATGGAGGAGAACCCCTATGTGGGATAAATTACATGCGAGAAGACAGTTAAGTGAGAGACAGAGGGTTAAAATAAAGCCAGTTAACTGCACTGGCATCTCACTACTAAGAGGATTTAAAGAACAGGCAGTTCTAATTGCCCAGAATAAAAGCAGCGTGTGGGGGAGGGAAAGTTCAAACAATGACAGGTTGCAATAGAAAAACAATTCCACAATAATGGGCCGTGTATATAACACTGTCAGTGTGTACAAGGTACTCGACAAGCTCTTGGAAACTCCTGGGCCAGGCCTCATCGAGGGCAGAATCAGTGGAACAAAAGTGCAACTGCCAGTGCCAGGGAGACCAGCGAGGGATGGCAGAGCTAGAGAAGTAGGTTTTCAGGAGGGAAGGGGAGGGTGCCTCAAGCCACAGGTCAGCATGATATTGGACGCGGGGGAAAAAAGCCCCAGAGGCGTAGCAAGCAATGTTGTGCCCTGTGGCAGTGGCTGGCAGTTGTGCTGCCTTTCTAAATCAGTGCCCAGGGCTCATGCCCTGCTCGTCCACCCCTGGTTATACCGAGAAGCCTTGGGAGGAGCATGGGTTGTGAGGCCGTGTTGTGGGAGAGACCGAGAACCCAGGGCAGCGAGGAGGCTGTGCAGAGCACCTGAAAGGGCCCCTGAAAGCAAGGCTAAGAGGAGAGGACGCTGCAAAAGGCATCTGTGGAGGAGGAGAGGAAGCGTTTTTAAATGACTTTTACCCTTTCATTCCACAATGCTGAATACCCGAAACATTTTCAACACCCACATTAAGCCACAGCTCTCTCTGATCCCCTGAGCCAGGGCACCGCTCTTCTCCCCAGCTCCCATCCTAGACCAGTCCTACCAGGCCTGCTAGCCCAGCTCTAGAGGGCTTGCAGGCTGCTCTCGCTCCCTTCATCCACCCCAACTCCTCCGTTCCACATCCACCACCCCTGCCCTACTCCAATCTCTCTAGTCCTCAACTACAAAGAAAGCAGGAAGGCGACTGATAAGTCGTGTGTAGATTTAGTAACCCGCGACACCTCCTGACGTGTACGGAGTCGACATAAAATAGCAGGAGGGCGGCATTTCTAGGGAGACCCTCTTTGAAGGAGGAAAGCTGGAGCAGCCTGAGCTCAGATTTGCCTTGTCCATGGCTTGCTGTGAGGCCGTGCCACTTGTTGCCGAAGATCTGACCACCTGACATGAGAAAAGAAAACATGGGAGCCAAGCAGATTTCTATTCTACAGCATCGGGGCCACGTTCTGACCTCCACAAGGCACGAACTAAGCCTCTGCTTTCCGGACGACGGGTTTCACACAAAGAATGGAGGGCAGAATCGGCTCCGTGCGCTTTTCTGGAAGGAAAGGCAGCAGGCAGCACAGTGCCACTGGGCAATGCCCTGCCGCCCGCTCCCTCCATTCACCCGGTTACTCATTACATCAGGCTCTGACTGCGCTCTGCCAAGGCCACGGTGATGCCGGGGCTGGGTGAGAAAGAACGCAAAGGGGCAAATGTTAAACAGAGTTAAATTTTATGATTTAGAAATGGCTGGGTACGTCAGGTAAACAAACCAGGAGAGATAAGAGTGAGCTGCAGGACAGAAGCCCTTCACTGGGAGCTTTCTCTTCCTAGAAAGTTCTCTCCTAAAGGATGGTGGCGTGATCCTCTAAGGTCAAAATGCTCACAGCTGTTCACTCCTAGGGCACCCGTCCCAATCCAGACCCGGTCAATAGCCTTTTTCCCCCTGATTGCTGCTGGGTGGTTTCAGATCAGAGGTCCAGTTGCCCAAATCTACTGAGGTCTCTCCAGGACAAGGCAGAGGCATGTTGGAGGCATGAGAGTCCATGCCAATGATCACTCACTGGAGGTTCAGTTGAGAGAGGATTTTGGTCAAGGGCAAAGTTACCATGGAAGTGGAATTGAATCTAACACTTCACACTCACCCCTGCATCCCAGCGGGTTTAGAAACAACCCAGACTTCCCACTTCTTTCTTGTTACAGGGGTGTAGGTTGTAGCCGTGTTGGTCTAAGGACATAGGCAGACAAGATGCCTCCGCAGCCTGACAAAGGGTATTTATACCCGAAAGCTTGCAAAGAAGAATTTTTCCAAAATATTTAAGTTGGTTTAATAAAAGAGATCACTTTTACCCAAAGAACCTTGCCTGCCACTTCTTTCTTAAGCATTTCATTCACCTACAGAGTGAGATGGAAAGGAGGGATTAGAGCAAGCAAAGACCCACTGCTGCACCGGTTGTGTGAGAGGTGCTGGGGCCCCATCAGGCCCTCTGAAGTCAGTAGGAAGTGCAGAGGCTCAGCGGTGCTCTGGACTGGGTCCAAGCAAAACAGGGCCATGCCTCTGGCCAGCATGCCAGCGCCTGTGCAAAAGGAGGGGAAAAATTCATCAAGCACATTTCTCAGCAACACGTGACTCGGAAGAAACAAAGGGGATCTGACAAAAAAAGAAGGAAGCCATGGGGGAACCCCCCCCCCACCACAGCCCGGTCCATCCTGCTGAGCCGTACATGAACATCCCACCCACGTTGGCCCGCACTGCCCAGCAGTGTAATCTTTCTGCTTTTAAAACCTGGCAGTATTAGCAGCTGCTATTTTCCAGTTAAAAGGGTGGGGTGCTGGCATTGCCCCGTGATTTGGCACAGCACATAACTGAGCTTCAAACGCAAACCAAAAAGCCAAAGCTGGGTTCTGCTGATTTCAACAGGATCAGAAATTGACCCTAAACCTTGAAAGTTTACCCCTGAGCTTTAATGTGGGAATATGCAAGTGTCCCTGGCATTAGCAAGAAAAGCAAGAAGTGCTATATCCTGAACCAGTGAGATACAATAGGTGAGGATCTGGCTCCAAGTATTTATAGCAAAGACTTTTGCCCCCTGACAAAAATGCTGAGCTCCAGGAAACTCCCCTGTAATGCTGCTTTCAGGAAAGGATCCTGCTTGGGACATGACTGTCAAGTCACCCTCCAACCCTGAAAAAAAATACAGCAGTTGCAAGACTAAAGCAACAAGCAACTTTTCAACCTAGCTCCTGGGTCCCACACGGGTGCTTCATTTGAAAGAACTAGAGAGAGGACAAACTCTGCCTTCACTTTCCAAGAGGTTTCACCTATAACTGAGGATGAAAATACTTCACAGTATTTAGTAACAAGGAACATTTGCTGCCCTGGTTCACTTTTGTGTCATGCTTTTCACCTTTGAAACATGGTTTTAGAGGTGTTATGCCCATTTTGTAGACCAGAAAACTGAGGCACAGCAGGGTTACTACCAAAAGCAATACTGATGTTTGCTGTCCAACTCAAGACACCCTAAGCTTGATTCACATAGGTGCCAAACCTACGTGTCTCAAACTGAAGAGCTCTGCATTTCTGAAAACAAGGTCAAAGATGCCTCAAATTGGGCAGACAGAATCTTCAGCCCTTTTCAGATTACTGGCCTATCGGACCAGGTCACAAGGAGGGTCAGAGTCTCAGCTGTGATCAGAAACCAGGATCTCCTTCGTTTTCCACCAGAAAACGAAGACCTCTATACTGAACAGTCCCCCAACCACTGCAGGTGCGTGAGCCTCACCTTCACCACTCAGTTCCCAGCCAGGAGCAAAATGCAGCCACTAAAACAAAGACCCAATTTATTTGTCATGCACTGAGATGCTTATAAAATAGGAATTCCCTCGAGAAAAGTGCAGTGTTGTAGCTGTTTCCATATCCTGGGATGCTGAGGGCCAGCAAGATGTGGTCAATTTGTAGCAGATTTTTCTGCTGGTTCTCAGCCTCTATAGAAACGATCACAAAGGATTATGCATATACACAGATCTCCCCCCGCAAATTCCAGATGCACAAGGGAAAGTGTCCCAGATCCACCCACTCAAAATGGATTTATACCCAAGTCTCTTACCCAGGATCCTTCCAAAGAATGAACCCTCCCTCGCAGCACAAGGACTGAACTAGTAAAAAGAGGAGCCGCTGGGAGGTAACAGCTGCCTGTTGCACTATATTCATTCTTTCTCCCATTTACCACCCCAACCTCACAACCTTCTTGCGAAAAGATAGGAGAGACAGAAGCCCTCAGATCCAGGCACATCCCTGTGCAAGAAGGTTTCAGTGAAGTCTGATTTTGCCCCTTTCTTTTTTTAACTGTTGTGCACAGCTTATATACAAGTAAATAAAGGTTTAATTGTTTTTTTCAGCAGAACTCACAAACTTTTCCCTCTGCAACTTAACAGCCTTCTGGTCAATCTACAAAAAGCAATGTATGAATGCCTTGGGTCCAGATGTTCATAGCCATACATCAGAGATCATATTGCAAATGCGGTGGAAACTTACTGTCCAATTACACATGGAGACTGAATGCTAAGGAGTGGTAATGATTCTCAGAAAAGAACGGCGCCTTTTATAATGGTTTTATTATAGGATTCAAAGACTGAAATGACAGGGAGTGGAACAGAATCTGAAGGTAAACAGCTCTTGGAGTCAAACATTTTCGCAGCAAAAAAATCAATAAAAAGGAACAGTCTCAAGCAAGGGTCACCCCATAAAAAGGTGAATGGTCAGGGAGACGGCAGGAATGTGTGTCACGGACTGATTTTCTCCATAATTCTGAATGACAAAGGGTTGGAAGTAGCTTGCCTAGGACACCCAACACGGGACTGGGTACCAGCAACTCCAGATCTAATCCTGACTCTGGAACCAGTTTGCTGTGCATCTCTCAGCTCGTCTGTTTTTCTACTAATAAGATAGGGAGAATGCTATACCAACCCCGCAGCGGTTGTTTGAGGATTAAATGGTAAATAGCTGAATGGTGGTTTGAAGATATACAAAACAGGTGAAGTGTACTAAAAAGGAATGATGGTCTCATGACCACCTGAACACCTGGGCTCCATTACTGGCACTGCTCAGCCCCACAAATAGGCTCGTAACCCTTGGACAGACCATTTAAGCTTTCTCTTTTAAGGTGGAAATGATCATAGGACTACTTCCCAAGGAGTTACAAGGATGAACTAGTGCATCCTTGGGAAGCACTGTAGGAGCCAAGGACAGAAGGAACTAGATGTGCAAAGTAGTAATTAGTGGCTAAGACCACACTGAAAATATTAAGACAGTCAGGTCTGTAGGTCTTCTGTCTACAAATGAATGCATCTCTTCATCTGAAATATTGTTTCGGCAGGGAAGACCGGGGAAAGGGAAACAAAGAATATGGAAAGAAATGCAAAGAATAGGCGAAGAAATGCTCCCATCATCTTTGCTATGGAAGGCAAAGAGTTCTCTCCCTCGCACCTCTTTCCTTTGACACATCTGATACTGACCTGTAAGATAGGACGGCTAGGCTGACCTACTGCAGCACTTCCTACGTTCACCAACCCCCATCAGAGGCCTGGAGCAAAGGAAACTAGTACAGCAGCAGAGCAGGCTGTCTAATTAAGCTGCTCTCCCTCAGACTGCACACATTCCCTTAGCAAGGCATCCTAGTGCCAAAACAGTCTCCAGTGTCAGAAACAGAGCCAGGCGGCCTGAAAACAAGAGCACAGTCTCTGATCTCAGCAGTTCTTGGAAAGTGCAACAGGGCAAGACTCTCCGAGACCCGGGGATGTTCGTTCTGCTCCCTAAAGACAGTCCAGGGCAGCTCCCCAGGCAGAAGCGCAACAGTGAAACTTGGGAAGCCCTCAAAAACCTCTCCTGCCTGGTGGTGACAAGCAAAAACCAGGCCGCTTACGCAAGCACTCTTGGATTCAGCTAGGAATCCAGTGCGGTTATCTCCGAACAGCCTCAGCCACCAATTTACACTTGTTGATTCAAGATAAGTTCCTTTATCTCGCCACCTCCAGCGCTGTGCCTATAGAGACTGCCACAGGACTAGAAAGTTGAAGGACTCCAGGCAGGGCACAGGACCCCTGCAAGAGCAAGGGATGGATGCAACACTGCATCCTCACATGCTGAGCACCTGAGAGGGCTCTGGCAACACAACCAGGAGGGCTATCCTCCCATTTTGCATTGCCCCACGGACTGGGGGAAGCTCGTGGCTACAAAGTGCTCTTTGGAGGGGACTCAGTTAGAAATGGCTGGGGAAGAGTTCCTGTCCCCTGTACAAGGGAGAGACTTCTTGCTTTCTCCTCTCCCCATAGCAGCTCTACTGGGCCTCTGCAGTACCAAGGTTGTAATTTGGTGGCAAGGGGGAAAGAAAAGTCACCGTGCTCTGCTCGTCTTTCCCCATCTTCCCTACTTTCTAAAACAAGCCGTTTAACCACCCCATCACAAGTCCTACTGCAGACAAGCTGTTTTGCTCCGATCGCAGCTTTAGGCTTGGGGCTGATAAAGTTTCCTGAGCCTTGGGGCCTTCTACATTCAAAACTCCAGGACACTTTGCAGTTAACATACCCTTTCCTCAACTGAACGAGCAATCTGCTCTGAAGGGTTTCCATAAGAAGAGCTTTTTTATGCTACTGTTTTGCCCCCCAACATGCCCAGAATTTTTAATTCGACTCCATTCAAACTTGGGACCCAAAAAAATCCTCTGATTGGTTACAAGTCTAGGCTGGAATCCAAACCACAAAAGAGCCTATTTTCCCTCCACCGCAGCTGCTGTTTCCTGAGAACAGCATATGAGACCTCAATGTCATGAATGCCATCCCCTCCCAGCGCTCTGCACTCACCGACAGTGCTTCCCACCTGGCCTCACCTCGAAAATTACCAGCAGGCATCCTATAAAAATCTGCTGCAGGGATGAGCCTTGCAACTCCCAGCCCTCCTCCAGGGGATTTCCATCCCCTTTCAATGGGCCCAGGAAAGAAGCCGCTCCCTTCTTGTAGGGCAGATGGGAGTTGGAGGCTACATGATCTTCATCCCCTCTCCCTCCTTGGCAGTGCTGCACGCAGAGCCAGCTTGACACCCAAGCAAGACCACCACTGAAATCCCCCATTTGCAACAGCTGTGCTGACTTTTACCTCCAAGATCACTGCAGCCCTCAGATTACCCGAGATCACTCCTGAAATCACTACAGCTCTCAGGTCATTGTAGGCCTGAGATCACCCTTGAAATCACCACAGCTCTCAGATCACCACAGCCCTGAAATCATTACAGCCCTGAGAGCACCCCTGAGATCACCGAGATCATTGCAGCCCTGAGATGGCCCCTGGAATCAGTACAGCTCTCAGATCATTGTAGGCCCAAGATCATCGCAGCTCCAAGATCACCCCTGAGATCACCATGGCCCCAAGATCCCTGTACCCCTGAGATCACCACAGCTCTCAGATCACCGTAGCCCCGAGATCACCCCCAAGATCATCGCTGCCCTGAGATCACCCCCAAGATCATGTCCTCAGATCACCCCTGAGATCACAGCAGCTCCAAGATCATCCTTGAGATCACCACAGCTCTCAGATCATCGTAGGCCCAAGATCACCCAAGATCACCATGACCCCAAGATCCCTGCAGCCCTGAGATCACCCAAGATCACCATAGCTCTCAGATCACCGTAGCCCTGAGATCACCCCAGCTCTCAGATCATTGTAGGCCCAAGATCACTGCAGCCCCAAGATCACCCCCGAGAGCATCGTGTCCCCGGATCACCCCCGGGATCACAGCAGCCCCAAGATCACCCCTGAAATCACCACAGCTCTCAGATCACCGTAGCCCCAAGATGACCCCTGGGACCACCATGGCCCCGGGATCCCGGCTGAGCTCCGAGCCGAGGCAGCCCCGGGGACGCCGCTCACCTGCCCCGGCCCCGCGCGGCGGCCCGC